TCTTCACACTCCACACTTCACACTTCACACTGCACTCTTCGCACTCCAGACTTCACTTCACCCGGCGCTCTTAAGACTGCACACTTGGCACTTCACACTTCAAACTTCACAGTCCACACTTCACACTTCACTCTTCAAACTGCACTCTTCACGCCCCACGCTTCTCACTGCACTCCTCACACTTCACACTCCACATTTCATCTCATCTGAGCTCTTCTCACCTTAACCCAGCTCATCTCTTCTCATCTCATCTCTTCTCATATGTCACGCAAGCTTCCATGAATCACTTCCCAGTACTACGACTAAGCACCTTGCATGCGCCGTGCTCCAGCCAGGGCTGTGCGTGCGTGCTTTGTGCGAAGCTGTGCGAAGCTGTTGTAGTGTTGTGGCCAAAAACATAAGAACATGACCTGCGCGCGACACCGGTGCAATGCAAACACTTTCCTCAGACTTCACATTGCACTCTTCACACCCCACACTCCACACTTCACACTTGCACTTCATCTCAACTCATCTCATCGGAGCTCTTCTCATCTCATTCCATGTCTTCGCAGATGTCAGCTAAGTTCTTCTTGGCTATTTTCATGTCAAGTACTTTCCAGTAATGATGTCTACTACAAAAGCTTGCAAAAACTAGTTCCCAGTACTAATCTGTACTACAAAGCTTGCACTAGACACGTTCCAGTACTACTTTGTACTACAAAGCTTGCACAAAACACTTCCCAATACTACTTTGTACTACACAGCTTGCGCAAAGCACTCCCCAGTACTACTTTGAACTACAAAAGTTGCACAAAACAACTCCCAGTACTACTTTGTACTACAAAGCTTGCACAAACTACTTCCTACTACTTTGTACTACAAAGACAAAACACTCCGCAGTACTACTTTGTACTACAAGGCTCGCACGAAACACTTCCCAGTACTACTTTGTACTACAAAGCTTGCACAAAGCACTCCGCAGTACTACTTTGTACTACAATCTTGTACAAACCACTTCCCAGTACTACTTTGTACTACAAAGCTTGCACGAAGCACTCCCCAGTACTACTTTGTACTACAAAGCTTGCACAAAACACTTCCCAGTACTACTTTGTACTACAAAGCTTGCACAAAACACTTCCCAATACTACTTTGTACTACACAGCTTGCGCAAAGCACTCCCCAGTACTACTTTGAACTACAAAAGTTGCACAAAACAACTCCCAGTACTACTTTGTACTACAAAGCTTGCACAAACTACTTCCCAGTACTACTTTGTACTACAAAGACAAAGCACTCCGCAGTACTACTTTGTACTACAAGGCTTGCACAAAACACTTCCCAGTACTACTTTGCACTACAAAGCTTGCACAAACCACTTCCCAGTACTACTTTGTACTACAAAGCTTGCACAAAGCACTCCCCAGTACTACTTTGTACTGCAAAAGTTGCACAGAACAACTCCCAGTACTACTTTGTACTACAAAGCTTGCACAAAGCACTCCCCAGTACTACTTTGTACTACAAAAGTTGCACAAAGGACCAGCAGTACTACTTTGTACTACAAAGCTTGCACAAAGCACTCCGCAGTACTACTTTGTACTAGTGTCTCTTTGACCACGAATCTCTACAAGTGGTTGCATACTGGGGAATGTGTTTGAGAAGGCAGTCAAAGTACATATATGGGATGGTTCTTCGTGTTAAAACCGCCAAAGCTTTATGGCAATGCCTGGAAGCACTCGACAATGGGCCTCCACTGTGCCTTGATACCTCTTTGTGAAAACTTTTGCTGCTGCTGCCGTTTGATTTTCTGACATGTAGTCACGTTTTTCACATATTGCGCGCAAAGATCTTAGAAACGTTTCAGTTTCAAACGGTTGCCCAACTCTGGGCACGACGCCAAGAATGACAACAAACCAGTTTCACAACAATGTGAACGAAAATTTGTTACAAGACTTACCTATCACATCTTGGCCGTAGCAATACGTGTTCAACAGCTTCGACTTCATTATCATCATTTACATCATTGGCGCTAACATAGGAACCGCACCAGGCGGTGGCAGAAGTTTCCAAAAAAACTATAGGAGAGATGTGACAGTGTGATGGACAGAGGACGGACTGATGCACAGACAAAACGGTCCTCATCATCATCATCATCATCATCATCATCATCATCATCATCATCATCATCATCATCATCATCCCTATAGCCGCCGTTTCAAACATCATCTGCCAGTTATCTCTGATAGAGATGTTTTGTGTTGTTTCAGGTTGAAATGAGCGATCCATTGCCCTACAAGCCAACCTTTTGCCAAGGGTGGCCGGAATGCTACCGCAGCGTGATACAGATGGAATGTCGTCTGCTGCGCCCATCGATGTTGAGGACTCCAGCAGCGATGATGATAGCTGGATCTTTTGACTCCATCGCAAGTCACATTTGTAGATCCACTTCGCACTTCGCACTACTCACTGCACTCTTCACACTCCACACATCACACTTCACACTGCACTCTTCGCACTCCAGACCCCACCCCACCCGGCGCTCTTAAGACTGCACACTTGGCACTTCACACTTCAAACTTCACAGTCCACACTTCACACTTCACTCTTCAAACTGCACTCTTCACGCCCCACACTTCTCACTGCACTCCTCACACTTCACACTCCACACTTCATCTCATCTGAGCTCTTCTCACCTTAACCCAGCTCATCTCTTCTCATCTCATCTCTTCTCATATGTCACGCAAGCTTCCATGAATCACTTCCCAGTACTACGACTAAGCACCTTGCATGCGCCCTGCTCCAGCCAGGGCTGTGCGTGCGTGCTTTGTGCGAAGCTGTGCGAAGCTGTTGTAGTGTTGTGGCCAAGAACATAAGAACATGACCTGCGCGCGACACCGGTGCAATGCAAACACTTTCCTCAGACTTCACATTGCACTCTTCACACCCCACACTCCACACTTCACACTTGCACTTCATCTCAACTCATCTCGTCGGAGCTCTTCTCATCTCATTCCATGTCTTCCCAGATGTCAGCTAAGTTCTTCTTGGCTATTTTCATGTCAAGTGCTTTCCAGAAATGATGTCTACTACAAAAGCTTGCAAAAACTAGTTCCCAGTACTAATCTGTACTACAAAGCTTGCACTAGACACGTTGCAGTACTACTTTGAACTACAAAGCTTGCACAAACTACTTCCCAATACTACTTTGTACTACAAAGCTTGCACAAAGCACTCCGCAGTACTACTTTGTACTACAAAGCTTGCACAAAACACTTCCCAGTACTACTTTGTACTACAAAGCTTGCACAAAACACTTCCCAATACTTTACCTTGCCTTGTACTACACCAAGCTTGCCGCAAGCACTCCCCCATTACTACTTTGAACTTACAACAGTTGCACCAAAACAACTCCCAGTACTACTTTGTACTACAAAGCTTGCACAAACTACTTCCCCAGTACTACTTGGTACTACAAGACAAAAAAACCGCAGTACTACTTTGTACGGACAAGGCTCGCACAAAACACTTCCCAGTTTTACTTACTTGTACTACAAAGCTTGCACTAGACACGTTCCAGTACTACTTTGTACTACAAAGCTTGCACAAAACACTTCCCAATACTACTTTGCACTACAAAGCTTGCGCAAAGCACTCCCCAGTACTACTTTGTACTACAATCTTGCACAAACCACTTCCCAGTACTACTTTGTACTACAAAGCTTGCACAAAGCACTCCGCAGTACTACTTTGTATTACAAAGCTTGCACAAAACACTTCCCAGTACTACTTTGTACTACAAAGACAAAACACTCCGCAGTACTACTTTGTACTACAAGGCTTGCACAAAGCACTCCGCAGTACTACTTTGTACTACAAGGCATGCACAAAACACTTCCCAGTACTACTTTGTACTACAAAGCTTGCACAAAGCACTCCCCAGTACTACTTTGTACTGCAAAAGTTGCACAAACTACTTCCCAGTACTTCTTTGTACTACAAAGCTTGCACAAAGCACTCCCCAGTACGACTTTGTACTACAAAAGTTGCACAAACTACTTCCCAGTCCTACTTGTATACAGGGGCCATGACACAAAAACAATTCCACCAGTTACTTATGTGTACTACACAAGCTTGCACACACACCCAAAAGCACTCCCCAGTACTACTTTGTACTGCAAAAGTTGCGCAGAACAACTCCCAGTACTACTTTGTACTACAAAGCTTGCACAAAGCATTCCCCAGTACTACTTTGTACTACAAAAATTGGACAAAACAACTCCTTGTACTACAAAGCTTGCACAAACTACTCCCCAGTACTACTTTGTACTACAAAGCTTGCACAAAGCCGTCCCCAGTACTACTTTGTACCACAAGAGTTGCACAAAACACTTCCCAGTACTACTTTGTACTACAAAGCTTGCACAAAGCACTCCCCAGTACTACTTTGTACTACAAGGCATGCACAAAACACTTCCCAGTACTACTTTGTACTACAAAGCTTGCACAAAGCACTGCGCAGTACTACTTTGTACTACAAAAGTTGCACAAAGGACCAGCAGTACTACTTTGTACTACAAAGCTTGCACTTTAAGTGGCATACGCCACTCGGAACGCGAAGGCTACACAGTCAGCACGCCACTCGAAGTGGCACACGCCACTCGAAGTGGCACACGCCACTCGAAGTGGCATACGCCACTCGAAGTGGCATACGCCACTCGAAGTGGCACACGCCACTCGAAGTGGCATACGCCACTCGAAGTGGCATACGCCACTCGAAAGGGCATACGCCACTCGAAGTGGCATACGCCACTCGAAAGGGCATACGCCACTCGAAGTGGCATACGCCACTCGAAGTGGCATACGCCACTCGAAAGGGCATACGCCACTCGAAGTGGCATACGCCACTCGAAGTGGCATGAAGTGGCAAAATCAAATCCACCACATTTGCTCGTTCTCTGCAAGTTCGTGCTGCTGGAGTTACGATAATTAATGTCTAGCCTGATCTGTTACTGCTCCATAGCTACTGTTGCTTGTATCTGGTACATTGACTTACTACCCTCCACACTGTTTGGGGCTTCTTGCCACTGTAATGGGTGGGATTTCAACCATCCCACATGGTAGGCTATTTTTTATTGGCTTTCCCACATGTCATGGAAAATCCAGCATTTCATTCGATCATTTTTACCACAAAAAAACCTCCATGGCGCCGTGGCCACGGGGTCAACCCGGCGGATGGGAAGCACCGGAAAACCCGCTGCACCCGCGCCGAGGTTTTCGAAGGAGTCCAAGCGCCGCGAACTTTTCTCTGCCGCCGCAGCTGCTGGAGTCAGCACCGCCTTTGGAGCCCCGCTTGGGGGTGTCCTTTTCAGCTTGGAGGAGGCGACTGCAACAAGGGGCTGTTGGGAACGGTTGGGGCAACAAGGGGGATATGGGAGACTCCAAAATCCACTTCAAAAGACTTGGCTGGGTTCGATTTTAAATTGGCAGGGAAAAAACATGGTTTCCTGTAGGTTTTACATTCGACCAACCCAGTGAAGGATTGTGAGTTTTTTTTTCTCAGCGCTGCAAAAAACCAAGGTCAGCTCCTTTTTCCCTTCGCGCACGCTGATCAAAGCCTTCACTGCTGCCATGGCCGCTGCAATCGTTTTATCAGTGCTGAACACTACCAACACAAAAGGCAGGAGTCGCTCCCCTGCGGTGTGCATGGGTTTCCTCACTAATCACTAAAGATTACAGAATTTGATTTTTGGGTCCCCCATTTCAGGAGCTCAAATGGTTTTATGCAGTTTGACTGTGCCGAGTTACACAAGTGTTTTTTCTCTCGAGTCCTGTGAGGCCTTACTTTGTTCAGCGTTGAGTACAGCAAAGCTTGCCATCCAGTGGAGTCCCTCGCCAGAAGAGCTTCTCAATTCTCTCCACTTGACGTATTTGACTTGACTCCCCAATCACAAATGGTGTGGCCTGCTGGACGGTTATTGTTCATCGAGGTATCTGATCTTCGCCGGGCTCGGTGTGGTCGGGGGTCTGGTGGGAGCCGTCTTCAACGCAGTGAACGTACGCTGGTCGGCCTTTCGCATGAAGCCGACCTTTCGGAAGCGCGTGCATCCAGTCTTGGAGGCCAGTTCCGGCGGTGGAGCTTTCCTTTAGGGAGGGGTATATAGTATATGTATTTTTTTTCCTATATGGTATAATATTATAGAATATATTAATATGCATATATCTATATGTATATTTATACACACATAAATACATAATATATAAGTACATACATAGACATAATTATATATATATATATACACATTTATATATACAAGTACATATATACATATATCTGGATAAATTATAACGACCTCACTGCGACCTTGCTGGAAATCATGGTTAATAAGGGAAATAATCATCCCCAAATGGCCTTAATCCAGGCTAGTGAAATATTGTAATTTACCCAGATATGTAAGTATATATATAAGTACATATATAGAAGTATCCGTATATAAGTACATATATACAAGTATATACATATATAGGTACATACAGTATATACAATAATATATATATATGCATATGAGTATACAGACAAGTATACATGTTTCAGCGTATATATTAGGCATGTATATATATATATACATACATTAGTACACATACATACATACATATATATATATATATTAGTATATATAAAAGTATAATATATATATATAAGTATATATATATACATATTAGTATGTCTACACACATATATATATATATACACTTGTAATCTTTCTCTCTTGTCAGTATATATTTGTGGGAACCAACAAACCATTTTGTTTTGGGTATGACTTCAAGTTACTAGCCAAGTGATCGGTAAAACGGCACCAGCTATGCTGGAAGGTCACCTGTATCGCATTGGTGACGTTGCTGACATCCTTCCCCGTGGCCATGACCAGAGTCCTCAGCTCTGATGCCATCCACGCCTTGTTTGAAGCCTGCGATGCTGGGTCAGGTGTGACAACTTGTGGCCGCAGTTGAGTCAGTTGCAGCAGTTTTCGAGACTCTATGAATATGATGAATCCATTTGAAACCACAAATCACAGGGTATATAATGATATAATTGGGATATCTATGGAATTCTATGGATATATGCCATCAGTAAGTTCTTCTGCACAAAATCGTTCTTGCAACGTGTTGTGGAAAACTATTGGCCGCCCTGGCTTGGTGACTCGTTTCCCGCTCGGCTCCAGGTCATCAGTTGCGCGGGCATCTGAAGTTATGTACGGAGAATGACGAATATGCTCCCGCCTCCGTTGCCCTGGTCTTTGAGCTGCTCCTAGCAGCGATTATCCGATTGCTGCAGTGCCTCTGCCCTTAGTGAGAAGATGGATCCCTTCAAAAAAACTCTTGAGACGCATAAGACTGCTTTGATCTCTGGTATGTTTGACGAATTTTCTGGTTTGCTGAGACTTTAATGCCAGTACTGAAGGACCATTATCACTTTTGGAGTGCCTTGTCCTGCAGGCTTGGATGCTGCCTAGTGTTAGAGGCTTTCTTCTCAATCCGGGAACGGCTCGAAATTGCATACCCCAACAACGGAATAGTAAAGATGACCAATAAATGGTGGGGCCATTGGTGCTCCATTTTGCGTCTCCATAGCCATGCCTTCTGTTTCCTGCCGGGACATGGGTAGGCCTTTTCGTCCCTTCTCTGTTCACGGGTGCCGCAATCGGTCGCTGTGTGGGGGTGCTGATACAGGCCAGCTACTCAGCATGGACCAGTTGCGTCCTCCAAACGTGTTATCAGTCAGTGAATTGGTCGAAGGGAAATTAGTCGAAGGCAAATTTGGCTGGGCAAATCATGTTTCCCTGTAGATTTTTCTGAAATCAAGCAAGGGAATCAGAACTGTGGTGTTTTTGGAGGCTGGCAACCATGAACAGGCCCTTTTTCCTCGGACTGTGGAGCCTGGTGTGTGACTTTGACCGCAGAGTTTTCCTTGGAAGCTACTAGTCTCAAGTGTCTCAAGTCTGGATCACCCTTTCCAGGTATGCCATGGTTGGCGCAGCAGCAGTACTTGGCGGTGTTGCTTTCCTGCACTGATCCACGGACGAGCTTTTTGACCTACAAGAAAAGCATATTTTCGGTTTGCAAACATGCAGATAGTTTGCAGAAGGCTTTCCGACCAAGCTTACTTACTACTGTACCTGAATCCACAACAACAGGTATTCCCGCTTGTTTAAAAGGCCCCTGGGCCATTTTCCGATTCTGTCACAATCGTGGGCAAATGTTGCCACATCCAAAAGTGTCACAAAACTGCAAGTTTGTGTCGACACATGGGTTTGTCTGTATCAAAACCATCCATGATATTTTTCATTATTATCATTTTCCCCAGACATGAATTGGGGGTAAATCCAATTTTTATTGGCTCAAAAGCCATAAATCAGAATGTTGATCATGTCATGTCATCCCATGACATTCCATAATATCACTACTCTGGGTGTAAAATTTCAATTTTTGGATATCCTCTGGTAATTTAACGTAGCTATTGAACATGACCATAGAAATAGTGGATTTTCCCATGAAAAATGGTGGATCTTTCCATAGCTATTTTGACATAACCAGAGGGTACAGCCCAACCCCATCTTCCGGCACCTTGGCGCGGCACCCTCGGCGGCTGAGGTTTGCCGAGTGACGATCTCCTTGGTCGCCATCATGCTGGAGCTGACCGGTGGCATGACGTACATCGTGCCCTTCATGATCGCAGCTTCTTGGGAGACGGTTTTTGTCTGCCGAATCGATTTAGGAGTCAGTAATTGGAGCGAAAAAATAGAACAGTTATGGAGGTTTTACAATTTTTGGATTTTCCAAATAGTTGATAATAGTTGGAGATTTTAGAAATAGATATTACTATCAGATCTTTCACACCAAGGATTTTTGCAATTCTGAAAGACTGACACCACATCACATGAGTCCCAGTGGTCAAGTGCCGTCCATGATTTCGATGTGCAACGGCAAACAAATCCGAAAGATATTTTGCACAAAACGTTTTGTGAAGCATATATATATATATATATCAATATCACTATATATATATATATACATATTTATATATCAATATCACTAAATAAGTGTATGTATGTATATATATATATTCTCTTGTAAGACTCTTTTGGCGACATGATACGAGCACGATTCGGGGGACTCTTTTTCACGGCCATGCGTTGCGTTCCTCCATGAAACAAAGGTTCTCATTGCCAAGCTTGTTGCCAAGATGCACAGAAGACACCAAAGGGCTGGATGACTTTAGTCTAGCCGTCTAGCCTTATTCACGCTGCTGTGGCATACATTTTGGATGACTGCTGTGGCGTTTTTTCCCCTTTCTCTGGCCAATGGGCATGCAACTCTCTGGCCATTGTCTTGCCCTGTGCTACTGCCGGCTTGAGGTTGGAGATACACTAAATGAAGGCCGGGAAAGGGGAAGGAAAAGGAATTCGGAGCATGTACTGTGCAGCGCCTCGAGTTTGGCAGGTATTTACGACCTATACATTGTTCTCAAAGGATATCCGCTGATTGGCAGCACCTGAAGTGCTGCCCCAAAGCCTTTCTCATCCCTGGCTATTTGGGGATCCCATTTTCATTTTCGAACACATCCTTGCAATGATTCTTTACGTGGCCCTAGCCGCCCTAGCCTTGAAGTCATCTTTGAGGTAGGATGCGATAGGGAACCAGGGTGGTTGCACCTTATGAGTTTGGGTTGGTTACCTGACAGTCTGACAGGTATAGAAGATGTGTTATGGGTTAAGCAACCTCAATGGTTGAGTTTTTTTTTGCACTAAACCAACAAGGAGACCTTTATCACCCTTGGGGTACCCAGTTTTCAGACCCACGGCATTGCTGATCTGCAAGTTGTTTCACCGTGTTTCACCGTCCAAGGTTTCTTCAAGAAGATTTGGACGTGACCTTCACTGAGACGCTCAGCATTCAGCATGTGGGATGAGTTTCACATGGCAGTTCTGAACTGTCTGGGCGGTTTTCACATCCAAATATCGCTGTCTTATTCAAGCTGGAGATTCATCCCCACCCTGCGGGAGAATGGCTGAATGGCTGTCGTTTTTTTAAGCAGACAGCCATAGAAAATGCAGTGCTGAGGAGATGCTGCGATATCATGGAATCAGGCTTGACCACCTTGGACATTTCTTTGCAGCCAACTTTCTCTGATTTGAATCTCGGCATACCTTTAGTCAACCATCATTTTACCATCAAATGGCTATTTCATGGGTATACTGCTATGCAACATTTTCAGACACAGCCACATATCTGAAACACTGGGGAGGTTGAAGCAGTGCCAAGACTGCTCTGGGTTGACCTAAGGTCTTGGCTGGTGCAGAACTTTCACTTTCCCGGATATCCAGTGGTCATGGGAGATAGCAACTTGGATTCAGTTGAATCCTAGAACAAACTAGGTCAGATTGTCCACCTTGTCCTAAGCGCAGCAATGTATGCCACGCAGAGATGAATCTGACATCAATGGAGCAGGTTTAAACACGTTCACCTGGCAGTTGCCGCCTCGCATATGACCCTACCCCTGTTCTGCGGAACAGGGGTAGGGTCGAATGTGAAGGGACACATGTTGTTTTTTGCTGTAAGGGTTGCTTATTTTGATTTGGGTTGGGTCGAATGTGAACGTCTGTGGTCTGAATTGGATTAGGGTCGAATGTGAGTCGGTGGGGTTGAGTGTGAGGTCTGTACCTTTCCTGCGTGTTTGCATGTGTTTGCTGTGTGTTGAATCCTAGCAAAATCAAGTAAATCTGGTGAATGGCTATAAAACGCACATAGCTTCAGAACAGAAATAGGATCATCTAGAATCCAGTTGATGCCCAGGTTTTATTGGCTACATGAAGCGGGAGCATCTTCGAGAGCTTATAGGTTGGACTTTGGTTTAGTGTGGAATCGCCATCATGGATAGAAGACAAAAGCCCCTCTAATGGAAGCTAAACCCACCAGGGTTTCAGATATATACATTTTCCATTATAACCGAGCCATTGAATCATGTTGCTGAAATTGATATCTGAACTAGTAGCCAAATTGGGTTTGTCCAAAAATCCACAAATGTCAATCTGAGACAAGAACCATTGCTATACATACAACCATTGGGGGTCACTCACCAATCAACCTGATCCTCCAGGCGTGTATGCGTATTGATATTGGAACCCCAAACGGTACTTCAGCATGATTTCACGGAACTTTTGGCCCTCAGAAATTTGGGAATCCTCACATCCAAAGTTGAGAAAACCACCATCCGCCACCATCCCCAAGTATTCTTGCCAGGCAGATTGAAGTGTTCCTCAGTCATGCCATAGACTCCCAACTTTTCAGCTGTTCCCAGCTGTCAGGGCACCTGGGACGTTCGGGGCGAACTGACGATGAAATGGTACAGCAAGACGAACTTCTAGAGGTCACAGCAGCTTGGAATGGATGGGAATGGTACCATTGGTAACCATCAGGGCATACGATTTTCATGTGGTGCTCCGGGTGGTTGATTCATTCCGCATGTAGTCAATCTGAGCAATGATATGAATTATCATGAATTATCTATCAGCATGTTGAGTAGAATCTGCACTCTCCTTGCAGGCTTACCACTCCTCAACTAGGATGATTTGAATCCAAGAGACTTTCTGCATTCAGATCATGAAGGGTTGAGGAACTTGAGGTGTCGCGAATCTTCCCCTGCCCAGGATCGCAACGTGATGCGAATGTCTCCGGGTGCATCTCTAACTCAGGCCAAGGGCACGGCGTCACGGGTGCGAAGGGCAGCTGGTTTTCTGATGGCCAAGCCAGGCCCACAAAGTCTTCAAGCAGTTGGGATGCAAACGCATCTTCCTGGTTGGTTCGATGCGTGGCAACTCACAGGACCAGTTATGACATGTTATGACCCACGGAGTTGTAGCTGATTTTCCACATTTGAATTCTTAAGACTGCGCCACTTTTCAACCGCAGGATGTGTTGCAGGGCATGCTCTCCAAAAAGAACTTTCTGCACTTTCTCAAGACCGGAAAGATTGGACATATGCGAGACTATCCGAACAGTCAGCCCTATTATGCACCTTCTCAAGCAATAGTCTTGCAACAGTGGGGCACTTTCGGGATAGTCCAGCAACTTCGCTGCTCCTGAGGGTGGCGAACGTTCACCACGTCGGAACGCTTCAAGCACTATTGCACGTGCAGCAGGATTGGACACTTGTTTGCAAGAAGCGCACAATAAAGAGAATAGAGTTTAGCGACACGAAGAAAAAAACAATCTGACAACAACTAGAATAAGGCCATGATTGGCATCAGAAATCATCGGAAGCCATCCAACATCATTTGTCAATTCCGATTCCATTTTTTCATATGTCCATGAAACGAGCTCTTTATTGATCCATTTCGGCGTCCACGGGCACTGAGGAACGTTTCAGGAACACGTCCTTTGTAGCATCTCTGCTCTCCGTCTCGCGGGAGCGGTCGAGTCCGATGTGCTTCGGCGCGACGATGGGACCGGGTTCCACTTGGGTTTCATCAAGAATCGTGATGATTGAACCCATTGGACTTAGTCAACATATACACACAATTACACAATTACATTCACACATACATTCACACATACATTCACATACATTCACATACATTGACATACATTTACATACATTGACATACATTTACATACATTGACATACATTTACATACATTTACATACATTTACATACATTCACATACATTCACATACATTGACATACATTCACATACATTTACATACATTGACATACATTTACATACATTGACATACATTTACATACATTTACATACATTCACATACATTTACATACATTTACATACAATTACATACATTCACATACATTCACATACATTGACATACATTTACATACATTGACATACATTTACATACATTTACATACATTCACATACATTTACATACATTGACATACATTTACATACATTGACATACATTCACATACATTCACATACATTGACATACATTCACATACATTTACATACATTGACATACATTTACATACATTTACATACATTCACATACATTTACATACATTTACATACAATTACATACATTATCATACATTCACATACATTTACATACATTTACATACATTCACATACATTTACATACATTGACATACATTTACATACATTGACATACATTCACATACATTCACATACATTGACATACATTCACATACATTTACATACATTGACATACATTTACATACATTTACATACATTCACATACATTTACATACATTCACATACATTCACATACATTGACATACATTCACATACATTCACATACATTGACATACATTTACATACATTTACATACATTCACATACATTTACATACATTTACATACATTGACATACATTTACATACATTCACATACATTCACATACATTTACATACATTCACATACATTCACATACATTGACATACATTTACATACATTTACATACATTCACATACATTTACATACATTTACATACATTCACATACATTTACATACATTTACATACATTGACATACATTTACATACATTTACATACATTTACATACATTTACATACATTTACATACATTTACATACAATTACATACATTTACATACATTTACATACATTTACATACATGGACACACAATTACATACATTATCATACATTGACATACATTTACATACATTGACATACATTCACATACATTTACATACATTGACATACATTCACATACATTTACATACATTTACATACATTTACATACAATTACATACATTATCATACATTCACATACATTTACATACATTTACATACATTGACATACATTTACATACATTGACATACATTTACATACATTTACATACATTTACATACATTCACATACATTCACATACATTGACATAATTTCACATACATTTACATACATTGACATACATTTACATACATTTACATACATTCACATACATTTACATACATTGACATACATTTACATACATTTACATACATTTACATACATTGACATACATTCACATACATTTATATACATTTACATACATTTACATACATTTACACACAATTACATACATTATCATACATTCACATACATTTACATACATTTACATACATTGACATACATTTACATACATTGACATACATTTACATACATTTACATACATTTACATACATTTACATACATTGACATACATTATCATACATTCACATACATTTACATACATTGACATACATTTACATACATTTACATACATTTACATACATTTACATACATTGACACACAATTACATACATTATCATACATTCACATACATTTACATACATTTACATACATTGACATACATTTACATACATTGACATACATTTACATACATTTACATACATTTACATACATTTACATACATTGACATACATTATCATACATTCACATACATTTACATACATTGACATACATTTACATACATTTACATACAGTGACAGACGTACATACAATTTACACATACAACACCATACATTCACACATCATACAATAACTACACACAGACATCACACATCATCATACATACATATACATACTTCACACATCAATTCACCCATACATGCACAACATACAGTTCGACAATACCATTCCAATCTTCACACAATCTTCACACATCCATACCACAGACATTCACACATACATCATACAACAAACATACATACACACATAGATCAGACATTTGCAGTACATACACCCATACATACATACATACATACATACATACATACATACATACATACATACATACATACATACATACATACATACATCATACACACTAACAACACCATACAGACTACATCATACTACATACACACCACACATACATACACACCATATCCATACATAATACCACATACACACACGCATACATACACAACATACATACACACATACATACACACATACATACACACATACATACATACATACATACATACATACATACATACATACATACATACATACATACATACACACATACATACACACACATACATACACACACATACATACACACACATATACATACACACACATACATGCACAGATACACACATACATACACAGATACACACATACATACACAGATACACACATACATACATACACACATACACACATACATACACACATACACACATACAGACATACAGACATACATACATGCATACATGCATACATGCATACATGCATACATGCATACATGCATACATGCATACATGCATACATGCATACATGCATACATGCATACATGCATACATGCATACATGCATACATGCATACATGCATACATGCATACATGCATCATGCATGCATACATGCATACATGCATACATGCATACATGCATACATGCATACATGCATACATGCATACATGCATACATGCATACATGCATACATACATACATACATACATACATACATACACATGTATCATGCATGTATAATTCAATATATACATATATAAACGTATTATACATGTATATAATAGACATGCACACAGAATTCTTCCAAGATGGAGTTGAGGCAGCTACGGACCATGTTGCGATCGCCTGAAATGTCTGCCAGCTCGGGGGAAGAGGAGCGGAGGAGTCTTCTCGGAAACGGCTAGGATTTACCTATGGTTTTCCTAGGGTTTGCCTAGGAAATTCATCCAGACATGGGTGATTTTCCACGATCCGTTCAATGCATACCCTATTACCATCTATGGCAATGGCAATCTGGAAAAATAGGAACATATTAATAATCACGCATGGATGATTTGGGAGGTATCCAATTTTTTGAGTTGGAGATTTTAAATATCACCCTGGTTGATGGTTGTTTGGAGTGATTTTCCTTCTCTGGTTGGGTGATGTTCATTCAGCAGCTATCACCCCCTTGCCAAAAGCCAGTGGATGAAAAAAATCACCCTTGAATAGTTGTGGCAGTGTTTGGGCATTTCTGCAATTCTGCTGGTCTAGGCAAGTCGACGACTGCAGATGCCTTGTTCATTATGTTCATTGCTTTCTCTTGGAAGATGTGGCTCATTCTCAAGTTTGTTCGATCAAACTTGGGTGGTTTGCTACTTGGTGGCTCATCCCACTTAGTAAGTAGGTTATATCCCTAGTTATAAGTGGGATAAGTAGGCTTAATCCACCTATAACTAGGCTTATAACCTACTTACGAGCCGTGGGGTGCGCCACCACCGGAAGCCTGTCAGGACGGTCCGCCCTTCCAGGCCCCGAGCCCAGCGCGGAGCGCCATTCCGTGCAGTCTCCAGCCGTTGTGTTTTGAGGAAATCAACGATGGACAGCATCCGGAATTTGTGATGCGGGAGAATGTACCTTGGCAAAATCAACATGACCATGAAAACTAACATAAACCAACATCAACTAACATCAACTAAATATTTTGAAAGGAATATCATTTGGACTGAGACAGAGACTTCAGCGGTGGCGTCCAAGGAACGTTCTGAGCCCTGAGAACGACTGGCGACGGCGACAGTAGAAACCAATCTGGAAATCAGTTTTCTTTCGCTTTCGAAGGCTGCCAGTTTGCAAGGACTTACAAGAAGTCCAGTGCAGCACACATTGCAAGGCATTGAATGGACTCATTCCCTGCCATTTGGTCCTGAGAAGCTCACCAGTGTTCAAAACGCAGGGGCCTGTGTGGCTTTCCCGAAGAGTGCTAAAAAGAGCAACAGCACCCAACGTGCAAAGCGCAATTCATGGGATTGCAGCAAAAAGACAGTGAATTGCTGGATGCTAAGCCGGCACTGAGAGCTTGATGAAAGGTCCGCAATGTCCGCAATGTCCGCCGGGTGTCATGACTTGGGTTTGGTAGTGCAATGCCTTGTTATTCTGCACAGGCACCCAAGCAGCCTCCATCAGCAACGCTTCCATTCCAGAAGGCCCGGCATGGCACTCTTGTGTCCGTCGCAAGCATAATTTGGATGCAAAAGAAGCCAGCTCTTGATGCAAGTGGTTAAACAGTTATGATTCAAAATTTCAGAGTCCAGAAAACCATCCTCCAGTTGACACCAAACCATCCCATTTTTGGGCACCCAATTTAAACCCGTGGTCATGTGGCAGGGCCTTGTCACCACGACGGACGACCTTGCAGCTGGCTCCTAGTTCGGGGTTCTGTAGCACACTGCAGTGCGTTGTGCACCAAGGACAGAGTTGTTCCAATCACACAGCGGATAAGATGGGAGCCCCTTATGCGGGATGACACTTTCGATGTCTCAAAATTGGGTTTTTCCACAACACCCAAAACTCCAGCATTTTTCGCACTGGGCGTTGCCGGCTTTTTGCGGCTCAGGCCAAGGTTTACCAAGGTTTGCCATACCTCAAAATCCCATGGCTGGCAGCAGCTCAGGCCGATAGCAAACAAAAATGGCCCCTGTCTCTAGCGGCTCGTCCGGCGATGTGGGAAGGGCCGGAAACTCAGAGTGCCAGGCTGTTTGGAGATTTCGAAAGATCAGCAAACCATGGGATTCTTGGACGTCCACGAATTTTTCCGTTTTTTTTTGAAACAGACTCACTCCCCGTTTTTTTTTTTTTTCGAAACCCATCCTCAAAGGTATTGAGGAAGAAGGTTGCTAGAATTAACCCATCTTGGGACAAAGCCATGTTTCATTGCTGGCATTGCCATTTGCCAATTTGATCCAGATGGAAGCTTGTGAAATTTCTGTGTGAATGCCGAGGTTGGACACGCAAGGATTGTCTCGCACTTAGAATCCACACACAAAGGTATGTTGTGCTTATGCGGTTTTTCAATGACCCTGAATTCGGTTTATGTATGTTTATGTGCCCTGCATGGAAGATGTGAATGAATCTGAAAAGATACGGTACACTGTGGGTCAGTTTACCCACCATGGCGACAGGTCTGCAACTTCTGGTGCCTCTCGCGGAGCAGCAGGGAGACCAAGTGGGGGAAAAATTGCAGCTTCCTCCTCCAAGCTGGAGATTTTGACTGATTCTGACTGACAAATATGACCAATGGTTCAATGGTTTGTTTCTCTACAGTTTCCATATTGTGAGATGGAAGCCTTCTTTCCTCCGAATCTTGTTTGAGCTGGCTGCAACCGAGACCACATCTCGCCGAGTGCAGGGGCATTTAGACCTTCGAAGGCAGGAAAGGACGAAAAACATGTCTTGCTGTTTTTCGCTCCCGTTTAAGTGCACTTCTCTTCCGGGGTTTCTCTGAAAAATTATGGGAAAACGCCAAAGTCCAATGGCTTATCATCATTCTCCTATTAAACATTGCTATTTTGTTGGGGGTATCTCCAATTTTTCACACAATTTTTGGGCAGCTTTCGATTTTCGGCATTTTTTGGTACCGTCAAAGAGGTTGCCGGGCCAACCTCTTGGCCCTTTTGAACGGGCCTGGCTCCGAGAAATGTGATCCTGCAAGTTTTCTGTGATGCCATGAAAGCTTATAGCCTCTGGTAATGACTAACATAGCGAACTGGAAAGATCCACCATGCTATTCATGGGAAAATCCACTATTTATGGTCATTTTCAATAGCTATGTAACAAATTACCAGAGGGTAGCATGTTTTGGCTTTGCCTAGTAAGGTCTGAAAAAACCTGTTTTGAGCGTCAGTGAAGTCAGTGAAGTGAGACCGAAGGACAGCACGAACCGTTCCAAGGACAAATTATTGGATAGCTTCAATCAATTCCGGCAGAATGGAGGCACGACCTGGAAGAATCAGACCGCTCTCTCGCAACATCAACAGGATTCATTTCTAATGAGAGGGGGACAAAACCGACAAAACCTGACAGGGCATTTGCCATCGATGGCGACTTCGACGTCTCATTTTAGTCGAGGCACTTGCCGTGTTTGTGAGCAAGTGAGCAAACTTTTGCTAGACTGTGGCCTTTTGTATAACACAGTCTGAACACAGTGAAAAAAAACCTCTTTTGAATCCGTGTTTGTACTATTTCTTTTCTTCCGCCTTGCGAGGTGTGGACCTGCTTGACGTTCAGTCACATGACATGGAGGCGGTCTTGGACGTTCATCATGGATGGTGAATGACAAAGCGCAAGCAACACTGGGACGGGATACCCCACAGTAGCCATATACACCTATACTGCCTATACTTCATACAGATCTAAAGGCACATTTTTGAGTCGCAGACTGACTGGTACAGTATACATTGTATACATATCCAAACAGGGATCAACTTGGAATTGGTTACAAGCTGAACTTAAAGCAACTTTCAGGCCCTGCAGCAGCGCTGTGCCGAGCTTGAAGCTTTGGTCACAGAGCTGAAGCGAACAAAAAGAAGGAGGGCAGCCGGGCACATCGAAGTGGGGAACAGAAAACAGTGATATCCATTGGTAATTCAACATAGCCACCGAAAAATGGTGATTTATAGTTGAGTTTCCTATTAAACATGGTGATTTTCCATAGTTATGCAAACGTTTACCAGAGTGTATCTGTTGATATCCAGGATCCTGAACCCCCCATTCGATTCTGGTTCAGTGCCAGGAGCAAACCAAATAGTACTTCGACAGTGAGCTTGCCACTTCGCATGCAGAGAAAAGTTTCACTTTCTCCGGACTTGGACATGCTCAGCTGTGGGCATCAAGTCCTGAAAAGATCAGCACTGCCATTCCAATCCAGGCCGGGCACTCCTGGTGGCACACGTACGCCTGAAACTGAGAGAAAGCCTCAGTTCTTCCAATGGTGAAGCACTTGCCATCGCTGTTTCTTCAATGCCATTTGGTCAAAGATTTTTAAGCGGCCACCACACTTTAGGGGAGAGCTTCTAGCAGCCCCTACAACATACTGGAAACACTTTCCTATTTCCAGAGACGTCCTGGGTTAGCATTTTCCTCGATTTTTTTTAAAGTTTACTGGAACAGTGAGATGTGAGCTCCCTGTAATCACTTGGAAAAACCGACAAATCCATGGTTTCCTCTAGAATTTCCCAAGAAAAGCAAGCCGTTGACATCAGACTGACTGGCAGAGATGGCCTTCCCGTCGCATGGCCATGGCAACGGAGCTGACCCTGAAGCCCCTGCAACGGAGGTGACGAGCTCATACCGGGTTGGGAATGCCAAGGGAGGTGAATTTTTGGAGGATTTCACCCGAAATTGCCAGAAATGCAGGTTGAACCGGTTTCACCTCAGGGGTAATGGGCTTAACCAGCAGACATGTGGATTTAAAAGAGGAATGGAGCTTTGACAACTGGGATTGGTCAAAACTAGGAGTTGTGATTCTGGGGGCATGAGCTGCTGTTTTTGCGCTCCCGAGTTTTTTTGGGTTTTCAGTGATCCACAGATCCCCATGGTGAGGTGTTCCCAGCGCTGTCGATGGCTTGGAATCGTTCCGGTGACGATCACGCTGGCCATCTTGACGCTGCCCACGGTCCTGGTCTCAGTGGCTTCATGATATCAATCTGGTGACTAGACCGCACAGGGAAACGCCGTTTTTCGTGACATGAACAAAAAAGGGAAAACTGGCAGAAAACATCGAAACTCAGATTTTTCTGGTGACTAGATGACTAGACCGCACCGTTTTTCGTGATGATTTTTCAGGGAAAACTGGCAGAAAACGCCTACAAATAATATTTGTTTTTTTGATTGACCCAACGATAGACACAGAAGAGTCCACAGCACATCCCGTGTCAAGGTGCTGCCTCACATGACTCTGGAAATGGGGCAGCACCAGCAGGCTCGTGATTTCCAAAACTTTATATTGAGAAGTGGGTTGAAGTGGGTTTGAGGGTAGCCCCGTGCATCTCATGATCTTCATGATTCATCACAATCCCGCCATCGCCATTTGGATTTGGGTATTAATCCCCCAGAAAAAAAATTGGGTGGAATGCCAGTGATCACACCAGTGTTTTTTTGTGAGCCTGAGGCAGTGAAATGGTACTTTCAATCTGGTTGGTTGTGGAAGGAAGACACAGCGGAGCTTTCTAGACGAGGCCACGTGTAACACGCTTGACATGGTCATGAGGCAAAAAAGGCGACTTCCAAGATGAATTTTCCAGAAATTTCCCAAAGGTTGTTCGCAAATTGTTGATGATTCCCCCAATACTTGGTTGATGTGATGTGCAGTGAGGCAGTGTCACAGTCATGTCATGTGACCAGGTTGCAAGATCTTGAATTTCAAAGACTCTCGGTGCTCCTGCGCAGATGACATCCTTGCAAACATCATGGAGACTTTGATCGCTATTTTGGCAGATTTTTGCTGTTTGAACTTTGGACACTTGTTTTTCATGCGGTCAATGGAGTGAGCGATTGTGGTCCTTTAAGAGAGAGCTGTAAAATTCATGCAAGGCAGGGAAGCAAGAGGCAATCTACGCAGATTCTGATTGGACATTGATCAAGGACAGCTGACCCTTGCGGAAGTTGTCCGGTGCATGGAGGATGCCACGGAATTTCTCATGCCAGGATCCGAAGATGCAATCAGAGGGACTCCTGCTTAGCTTCGAATTCTTCATGGCAAATCGTTGAAGTTTCCCAATTTTCAGGATGAGAGCCTTCAGGTGATTTCCGTTTTTTTTCCTCTGCCAATCCCTGCTGTTTTCATTTTTAACCCCGAGGCATTCAGGGCATGCACTACACTGCATGGTCAACCCACCGAGAGCTGCGTACGGCGGGCGATTTGCGACAGAGGCAAGGCGGGATAAAACTTTGAGCGGAAACTCCGGAGTTTCCATGTTTTATTCCATGAAATATTAGCGGTTTTATTGTAATATTTCCCTTAAACCAATCTGTTGATCTATTTCAATTTATTTCATGTTTTAGGATGTTTTAGGTTGTTACATTTTTTTAAAAATGGTTCAGCCAGCGGCAGGCACCTGCCCCTTTTGACCAAGCTACTTCTGGAGGGAACCAAGGCGGTGGTGGGCGTGCATCCAGATCTGAGGGATGATGTGGCCATTTTTCTGCACTTCCCTCCCAACATCTTCAGATTCCTGGCTTTGACTAGCTTTGATGAGATGTTGGGAGAATATATGTATATAATATATATATATATGTATTATATATATGTATAATATATATATATATACATATATGTATATATATATAAATATAAATATATAAATAAATAAATATATATATATATATGTATATGTATATGTATATGTATATATATATAATGTTTGGTGTATTTTCCGGGACATTCGGAAATGGGAAATCAATGGGAAATGAACGGTGAAAAATCCTTTTGCCCTTGAAGCAAATCCAAGGATTGCACGTGCATTTTGTGGCATCCAACAGGACTGCAACTAATCCACCGTTGTGTCACCATTTTTTGCTGAGTTTTTGCACAACAGGACCATGTGGGCACCAGCAGAAGAAGTATTTTCAGTCCAAAAGATTGTTGAGTCCAGACCTTAAGCGCAGCTGGTTCCAGCTGCCTCCAGCTGGTTTTTTAGCTGGCGACTGTCAGGTCTTTACAGCTGACGAAAGCAAATCCGATCCACTCCAGTTTGATCCTCTGCAGAATTAGAAAAAAAATAGATCAAGATGATCAAGTGACCATGGGAGCTTAGCATGGCTTAGCATTGATCGCAATTTCTTGACGGATGCTGACGGATGCAGGAAGTTCATTGGGCCCCACTGGTTGAAGTGCCACTCCTGGGTGATCTGAAGCATCAGCCGCCATCGCAGTGGCTGATGTCATCTGCGACCGATGCCTTTGATGGTGATTTGAAGGGCGATCCGGAACGACGGTGAACGACGTTGATGGGATCTCGGAGATCTCGGGTATGGTGAGAGCGAAGCTCGCAGAAAGCTCGCAGAAGAAGATGAATGGCCAAACCTGTTCAGATGTCGAGCCGAAGCTGTGGAGTAGCTCAAGAGATGCAAAAAAGTTCTGGCAGTTGCAGAGTTGCTCAGCAAATTTACAGATGCGATGTGACCCAGTGATCCAGTGATCCCGTATACATTCATACCTTGACCAAAAGTTAAGGCCATCAACAGCTCCGGAGCAAGCAGACATTGAGGACAGCTGCATTGTGAGACATTGCCCTTTAGTTCTGCAGAGGCTTGTCATGGTCAGACCTGGACTCTTCTTGAAGGACGTAGCGAAGTTTGCAAGCCGCGCTGAACAAGCGGAGCAGCGAGCAGAGGCACCATTGATTTGTGCTACTTCACTTACCGCATGGCCCTTGAAGAGATTCTTAAGCCTGGATTTGTCCCAGCATGGTGGGATTTATCTAAACGAACAAGCATTCTCACTCGTTTCCCTCAGCTTTTCTCGCGGCGCCGGGGGGTGTCCCAACCCTTTTTGCCCCAAACAGATGGTTTCTCCTTCACCATCTGATCTCTCAACCAGCAATAGCAGCTCCATTTCAAACATATTCAAAACGAGAAAATCATCTATAAGTGATGATATTACGTGATAATTCCAACATATTCCAAGTAAGACAAGTCATTTATCCACACCCTTTGATAAATTTTGACAGTTCGATATGGAAAGTCACCAGCACAAGAAGAAGTAAATCGTCAAACGAAATGGGCCATGGCTTCCATTGCTATGTGAAACTACCGCAGGGTGGGGGGGCGGGATTTCCCTTGGTGAGGTGCTCGCGGCAGAGCTCGCTGCAGCATCTGCTCGGCTGGCTGAAGTGGAGGTGACCGCAACATCGCATTGGGGGTTTTCATGGGATTTGACTGGGATATTAAGTTGGTTTTTAATGGGCTTTTAATAGAATTTAATTTGGAGTTTAATTTTGTTTTGGTGACTTTGAAGATATGGCTATGGATCAAGAACTATAACTATCATACCATTTTTAGGGGATGCATATCCATTTACCGTCTATTTTGATGTGAACAATAGTAGCGTACTGGGTTTTGAAGCATAACTAGCATGGGGATCCAATGATTGAAACACGGATTGGAGCCTAAAAACGCCAGGATGCCATCGAGATTTACAAAGGGTCCTGGGGTTCCTGGGGTTCTGCGGTCATTTTTGGACCATCCAAGTCCATCCAAGTCCTAGAGCTTTGAGGAAAATTCTGCCAGAACCAGCATTTTGGGTGTAACTTCCAGGGCCTGGAAAGTGAAGCCCATCCATTTCGGGCCCATCGTCCCAGTCATCCCATGTCGTCCCAGTCGTCCCAGGACGGCGCCAGTGCAAAAGTGGCTGCGGCCGCCACCAGCCTTCGTGCCTCCGAGGCTACCTGAGCTGGTTGATGGAAAAAACCATGGAAAAACCATGGAAAAACCATCTAGAAATTTTAGAAATAGATTCAGTAGATGATTTTAGGGCTAGCATTTTTAGGATCCCATTTTCAATTTTCCTGATCCACGTGAGGCAGCTTGCCTGGCGGCAGTTGAAGCGGTTGGGGGCTCGGATCACAACATTTATAGCCGTGCAACTGTGCAATTATATAGAAACCGTATATAAACCCATATGAATGTCGGATATCACTATATCATGTTTAAACAAGATATTACTGTACAAACTTATATCAATTACTGTATATCAACTTATCTCAACAATATGTGATGATTTGGTATATCAACTGATCTATAAAATCACAGATCCTTAGGCGCAGGACGCCAACGAAGCACGACGACGGGTGGAGGAGGAGCTGCTGAAGGAAACGGCGGCGGCGAAGAAGGCGTCCAGCAGGGAGCCCAGAGCAGGGAGCGCAGTGGGAAGATTTTCACGAGGGTTGGAAGAGATTATGACTGTTTCGATTGGGGGTAACTGTTTGAATTGGGGCTCTTGTGTATATATATATATATATATATGCATACATACATACCAGCACGTCCAAAGGGGTGCTGAATGGACACCCGTTTGCAGAGATTCGTAAGGGGTGCTCAATAGACACCCCTTAGAGTTCATGGAGATGGCATGTCAGAAAAACATTGCTTCCAACCCCAAATCCACCAATCCCACCCACGTGGCATCTGTGGTGCACCCGACTTCATTTTTGGCGGGAAGAAATGCATGCGTGTCATTTCGTGTCAGATGCAAAATGTTCCCAAGTTTTCAAACAACTAGTCAAAATCGATACGAAATGACACGAGCAGGGGCTGTCCAAAAAGCACCCGACACGTTTCTAAGGGGTGCTTATTGGACACCCGTTTGCCTAAGGGGTGTTTATTGGACACCCCCCTACCCACCGACACAACACGGCAATTACACGCAATGACACACATGTTTTTCTTGATTTATCAAAAGCAACATCGTGCCCCGTTATGACCGACACGACACGGCAATGACACGAAATGACACGCATTTCTGGAAGCAAACGTGGGGAAATTCACGAAAAATGCACACATACTACTATGATCTACTATGAATACCTCATTGTTTGTTTGCCAGGCAATTGCAATGTTTTCTTTTTCCCACCAGAATGTCACCAATTCCTCACTTGCATACACCTGGCAATAGGGCTGCCCGGTGTGGTTACGTGTCGAACTTGATTGATCCAATGTTGTTCAAAGATCAGATGCACTGGAGCCATTGAAGCCATCCCCAGATCCCCAGCTGTGGGTCATAGGTCTGATAGGTCTCCATCTTACCGTTGTCCATGTTGTGATAGCTTAGGTGACCAAATGACAGAAGCGGTCCTGGACTCAACCCGGAACCAAGCCCGTGTTATCTCTACCCATTGGTAATCCATAGCTATCGGAGCTATGTGTGTGTATATATATCATTATGTGTATATGCTATATATATATAGGAGGCTATAGCTATATATTACTTTACCATATCATGTTATGACCACATGAATGGGATTTTCCATAGTTTGATCATGTGAATTTTAGTGATTTTGCGTGCGTACTCATATCTGTAGATAATGTGATCACTAAAACCATTCATATGGGAAATCCCATTCTTTGATTATGAGAGGGTACCAGTTTTACCACCAGAAGATCTCAAGTCAAGCAGCAACAGCTCGAAAAAACATGAGGCTGCAGCGAAAGCAGCTAGGGAAGAAGCAAGCCGCGTCAAAGCCCTTGCCAGTTTATAGCTCAGAAACAGGATGGTTTGGTCCTAGATGACAGTAGGCTCAGTGGTTTTCTGGGCTGTGATTATGTGACTGTGGACCCATATCCATTTATGAAGATTTGAAGAAGATTTGGTGGAAATGATGAGAACCCCACCTATCGCGCTTGTTTCTTCCAGTTTCAATCCCATAGTAATCATATGCAATCATAGTGTATGGGAAGCTTTTCTGAGTTTTTCTGCCATCACTGTCCCTATGTCCATGGAAATTGTGTCCTATCAGCTGATTTCAGGATCAAGGGCATCCGCTCTGCACCAGATGCGTGCTGATTCGCAGGAGTGCGGCACTGAGTCGTGGGCCCCCCTGGGGATCCGAAGCGAAGTGAGCTGCTGGGGAGATTTCTTGGCACGGCCGCCATGGCCTTGTGAAACTTGAAAATTGCGGCCTGCCTGTGAGTCAACAACTCACTTTCAACTTCACTTCAAACAATAAGATCAATAAGCAGAAAGGTATAGAAAGGTCATAACTTAAGTATCTACTTCTTTCATGCAAAGGTGATTTTATGGGCATCCACGGCATCCACCATTTTCAGGCCTCAATGAGGGATAAGAACCCGCTGGCCGAGGCTCGCGATGCTGGCAACCTGCTTTGCCACATGGCGCCTTTGGTGGCTCAGCAGCGAAACCATCCTTGTTGGTTGATTCATGATTAGTTCTATATCTGTGTTTATCTATACTATCCGTATATGTGATTATATACTATCATGGGGATTATATACTATCCGTATATATTTATCTATACTATCCGTATATGAATATAATGGTTGATTATATACTGGGGAATGTGATATTCCGTTATTTGAGCACCCAGACAAACCAACTGATGATTTTTGGACTCAGCTTTTCTGATGGAAATCTGCATGAAGATTTTGGGACCCCCAAAAACCAGAACATAGATGATCATGTCACTGTATTGGTTCTCAGACCTATCCCAAAGCCTCCCCAATAGACCCGACTTTCAGAATTGCTACTCTAATTTGATGTACCATCTGGTTATGACATTGCCAGTTCGCCATGGAAAGATGCACCATGCTATTAATAAATAGGTAAACATAGGTAAACCATCTATTTCGATTAGGGCCATCGTAATAACCATGGCGAGCCGTGTGAACGTCATAACCAGAAAGTCCAATGAGGTTGAACCTACTCGGATCCCATGGCGGCCCCGTTTTGGCTATGAGAAGGGTATTGACCCTTCTCATTTTCAGAGACAAAGATCATATATCAAGTTGGTAGTGTTGTTAGTGTTGGCAATATGTATATATAGCATATATATATCTATCTATCTATCTATCTATCTATATATATATATGTGCATATATATATATATATATTCCAGACATACAGTCAATGGTTGCGAAGTCGTGCACCAGTTTCTTCGTAAACATCCCGTTCTAATCCCACGATCTACCGCCGATTCCCGAGGCTCGCCGAAACGCGCATCAGCTCGGCAAAAGAGGTCACCGCTGCCAAGGCCAAGATTTCAGCTGCACGAATGTTTCAGTTGTGTTTTTTTCCTTAATTGTGCAATGAAAATGGAGGGTTCAAGTCCCATTTTTTGATGATAAGCAACCAATTCATTGGATATGTTATGGGATATATACGACCAACTAAATTCATTATTTGCCAGGTCACCATTTTGACCGCCCAAAAAATGTCAAGGCATGAATCATGGAACATGGGTTATAAAACCCTTATACATATATAAAACTATATATATATATATACATACATAACCAACAACTTTACAGGATATGTTATGGGATAAATGTCCGGTTTGCAAAATGGAGTACTTCCCCAAATGGCAATTTCAATCGAGAAAATCATGCTACACAATGGAATTTGGTAGTATCGGTAGTACCACTTTTTCAAACAATCCAAATTTGCAATGAGGTTAGCCAATAGAGAAAAGGGGAGTTAACTTAAAAGATAGGTTAAAGACATGCAAAACCAAGAGATATTCAATGAAATGTGATCCACACCCCTGTGGAAAGTATGTACTTTCAACATGTGAGAGAGACTTGTTAGACAATGTTAGACGTAGACCAAAAAGAATGTAGATTCAACCAAAATCTTTGATTCATGGTGATGTGGATCAAAACTAAGACCAGCTTGATGAGGTGGGTGCAACGCATCTGTGTGCATGAGATCGCCCACTTGCATCTAGGGTAGAAAGGCTGGTTCTTAGACAAGAAGGACATAGAATGCTGCATTCAACAAAAGAAACTTACCGGGCCACTACTCCCAAATCAAAGGCACACGGCATTTGTGCAAGGCCAGACAGCGCGTGCGGAATGGAATTGAGTCAGCACTGAAAGGCACAGAGATCGAGGTGATGCACACTGCCCGGGCCCTACTTCCAACAGATTCATATCATTTCGTATCATCCTTTTCCCATAAAAGTGTCAATTTAGGGCTATCCCCCTTGTTAATTCTATATGCCATTATGTCCCTATTTAGACCATATATTCCATTACTGTATGTTCCACTAAAACCCTGAATAATGGTAAACACATATTGAAAAATCAACATTTGCTTTGTTGAAAAAAAAAAATCAACCTGTTTAGTGACTTTAGTGGGTAAAATCAGACTTGGATCACCACAACGTCACAACGTCTTTGAAGAGACCCTGCTTCATCTGTGGCCACGGGGTCATCAACTAAGGTGATTGCAGCATGGCGCACCTCGTTGTGCACGCGACGCACAGTGGGCTCCCTTCAGGCGGGAGTCGAGTCAACGTACCGAGTCTACTGGGCAAAAATTCCAGTCACCGGGGAATATCATCGTAGTAATTTCCAAAAAGGTAGCAAAGTGTCCCAGGAAAATTGTGATTCATCACTTTTCTTGGGAATTTACGATCCAATTTCATAGAAATCCATTGAAAATAGTGTGTGTTCGAGCCATCTTCGGCTCTAAAGACGCCGTGATACGCCGCAGGCAGCTCTCTTTGCGGAGGAGGCCTGGGTAGGAAAAACATGAAGATGGCATATAAAATCAGCCATACATAGCCATACTGGCGATTTATGGGATATATGATATATGACCAACAATATGAGATGGGGTTGTTGGAACATGTTCAGAAAAGATTCATTTCCATGGTTTTAGACATGATTTTCCCTTCAAATACCGCACTTTGGGGTGTGTCACACTTTTCTGGACAAACACATTTAGACTTATGTGTATAAGATGGTCGGCGGCATTGAGTTCCCAATTTTTGTTTCTTCAGGGTGGCTTTTTATTTGGTAGTGGAAGTGTCCAGTACTCGTAGGAGCTTCAAAAAAAGCAGTTGTGGGCCCATTGTCTGCCTGTCTCGGTGATTTTCAAAACAGATTTAGCCTCTGGGAATCATGGCAATGGGATTTCCCCGATAATTTTAATGGGCATTTAAATTGAATGGGAAAATCATCTACCCGGCCTGGTCAACTGACAGAAAGCTATTGAAAATTGCCATAGAAATAGTTGAATTACCCATAAATAAATGGTGGATCTTTCCATAGTTATGTTAGTTTACCGGAGGGTATAAATGGAGATTCTCCATTGCCAAGCTGGACCGCAAATTCCAAGCTGAGGCGGATCGAGCTTCAGCCCTGCGGGCGCAGAGGTGACGAGCTTGAGATCCTCCTGTTTTCCCTATTGAATCGGATGGAACTATCACCACAACGTGATGAATGGAGGATTTTTACATCTTAGGAAATCGTGCACATGGGTTTAACATAATTTAAATGGGGGATAGATGGGAAAAATAGCATTTGCATTTCAGATGCCTCCGACTTCTTGAACAATTTGCCGGACAGGAGCGAGTGTGACGTTCTCCTACTCCAGGCGGAGGTGTGGCTGGATGTCAGTGTTTGTCACCCCATAAAAATCCCCAATTTATCCATAAAAATGGAGTTCATAACCCCATAAAAATAACAAATAAACATCATCAATAAAAAAGCACCAGGATTTTCCACTTCTGCCTCAGGCACGACACCGGATAGCCTTACAGAAGCTCAGAACAGAGCTCGCAGAAGCTCAGGCAGTGAGTTGAGTCCAAGCGAAAGCTGTTTGCTCTGCGTCTTTGGTTGTTGTTGTGATGGTGACGATGATGATTATGATGATGATGATGATGATGATGACGATGACGATGACGATTGTGATGATGCTGATGATGATGATGATGAGGAGGAGGAGGATGAGCAGCCATCACTACTTGTTATTGTACTTCTATTATAGTTCTTTACCCTATTATTCTTGGCCATTTTTCTTCGTTCAAGGCCAAGCAGAAGGAGGCCTCCGCCGCAGAGCGTTTGGCCCTCCAGGCCCGGAATTCTCGGATTTGCCCAACCATTTAACTGGCAATTTTCATGGGGAAAAGTGATGAAACATCTTGGATGATTTGGGTCAGGATTCTATAGGATTCCACCTCCATTCACAAGACATGGATTTGTCACTGATGAGACTTAAACCCCTAGCAAAACATGCCGTGTTTGCAGGATTTTCCATGAGGTTTTTGGCTGCGAACAGGCTGCTGTTCGAGCTGAATCGATTGGGTGGCCCTCAGCACTGGACTTGCCAGACACAGAGGAGATAACTGGTGGTTTTTTCGCGTGGTGGTTTGGTGTCCATTGAATGAGCAAGGACACTTTTCTGGTGGTTTCAACCATTTTCTATGGTCACCCCTACTTGGGACTGAACCAAAATCATCCCGGATCCGAAATGGCTATATTTCGCAGGGGTTGAAACACCAACCACTTTTGTTTAGCTGCCCTGCATGACTGAATTAGTCGGACATATTTCTGAATGCTTTCACGTTCATGGTCTTTGTAGCAAGACACATTACAGATTACATCAGATTACATGAAATGCACCTGTTGCCTTGCGCGCTGTCAAGCTTTGAACTTTGCAAATGTGTGGACACTCACGAGCACATTGATGACACTCATATTTTTCTCTCTCGATTTACATTCACGATCAGCAAAAAAAACAGCTGATTGTTTGATCTCAAACAAACTACTGAACCTTGATGTCACTTGATGTCACAATTGCAACAGCGAAAGTCTTTGCCGTGCTGTCGCAAGAGCTACGAGTTTCGCATGGGACCAGCTGTGAACACAGTTGGCCATGGACGCTGGTGTAGACCAGCCTGGCTTATGGATGAGGCTCAGCATTTATTGAAAAAATGGGTTTGTCTGAGAATTTGGCACCTCTAAGTCCAAGAGAATATCATCAGTTTCCCCTCTAAAATGGCATTTTTTGGAGTTTACGTATATCCCATTTTGACCACTCGCCATGTGTAAACAGTGCTCTGTTGGTCAACTAGCGCAACTAGCAGCCCTCTTCCAGGTCAGCTTTATGCCGGCATTGCAGCTACCAAGGCCTTAAAAGGGTTGATCCCTGCAGCACATTCCACCTCATCCAAGATTGATCAGCAGAAACTCCTAATTCGCATTCCAAAACAGCTGGGCAAATCATGGTAAATACGCAAAAATTTTCAATTATACACCATGTATAGAGAGACATCCATGAATTTCCATGAATCATCAGAATTGTTGAGCCCTGGTATCTACCATGGTATCCCTGGATATCCCTGGTATCCCTGGCGTTGCTCAGGATAGAACGTTTGTTGACGACGAACTACTCCGCGGCCTTGCTCTCTGGAGCTGTAGCTGGTTCGCCTGGATCTTAGCCCAACTGCACCCTGGGCACAGTTGATGGGTTTAATGGATATTTAACCTTGATTTATAGATATTTAGAGGGTTTTTAAATGTTTTTAAGAATTTGACTCATAGTTTTTGGTTGAATCATAGATTATCTAGGTGTTATAACTAGTTATAACCTTATACAACTTTATCATTGATAGGTTTTTGAGCCAAACACGGGGATACAATAGTTGATCAACAGGGACCATTGTGATTCAACTCTGCCAACATGAGCACTGATCACATTTGAACACGCTCAGACTTGGGAAACACTCGAAAGCTACAAGATCTTTTCGCTTCAAGTAGCATGAGTCGATATTTTTTCTGACCATGTCCAAGCACTTTTGGCCTTTTTTGGAGGCCATCCAAGGGTCTTTTTTTCCTGATCCCGAAATCCCATTCAGCTTGATGCCCTAATTGGATAATAACTGATAACTGATAACCCGATATTTTGGCTAAACTGGACATTAATTTTGGTGACATGTTTTTTTGTTGATTTTTGGAATCGCAGATTCCATCTGTCCATCTGATGTTTGCCTTTCCTATCCCTTATTGAGGACCACAGAGCTGATCCTCTACCCGTTGGATTGCTTGAAGTCCAGCAGCCTCGCTTGCCCAAAACTTGAACTGAATGGAAGGAATGGAAGGTTCAGAGCATGCATTAGACAAGCTGCATGACTGCGTGACTGATTCTTTTTTGTGAGGCTGTGTCAAAATCGCAGCCATTTTTTTGGGCAGGGCGGAAGTTGACAAAGTTGACATGGGATTTCAAGCAGCAAGTTGACCATGTTCCGGTTCAACAGTGACATGGTCATCACACGATATCAACACACGGTCAGCAGCAGACAAAATGGCGATGTCCTGTGGCTTCGGGTGGCTCTGCTTGTTGCTGTGGCTTGGCAGAGAAAGAAAGACATGAACGCTGAACACTGATATTAGATTCTGATAACATATCACAATGCTAAACATGCTAAACATGCTAAACAAGAATCTTAATGAATCTTAAAAGCAACTGAACATCCTGTGATCTTTGCTTCCTCAGGCTATGGCCTGCGTGGTCCTCCAAAATGCGAGCTGCAGTGGTCACCAATCGCAGCTGGGACTTTCAGTTTCACCTGGAGAAAGTGGCCGTGATGGATGTGGAAACATGGCCGCAGCGACGCTACAGCTCGGGACCGCAATCTTTCCGATGTACTGGGGATGTTTCTGGAGATTGAGAACTCTTCAGGATTTAATTTTTGAGAAGAGGGAATAACTGGAATAACTATGTAAGCAATGTAAGCGAGCATCATCGGATGACTCGACTGTTCACCAGTCACAAGCAGTGAAAACACCACTGGATCAGCAGATTCTGGTCCTGGAAAAGCCAAGGACATTCCTACACCTGGAAAGGGCGAGGTGTTGGTGGAAGTTTATGCCTCCAACATCAACCCTGCAGCTCAGCCTGTTCCATGTAGCGTGAGAAAGAAGATGTTGCCGGGCACAGCTATACAAAATGCAAAGAGTATTTTTTGAAATATAGATGTATAATATATATATCTGTATCTCACTACATGTGTATATATATATAGCTCTATATATAATACACACACACATATACATACATACATACATACATACATACATACATACATACATACATACATACATACATACATACATACATACATACATACATACATACATACATACATACTACATACATACATACATACATACATACATACATACATACATACATACATACATACATACATACATACATACATACATACATACATACATACATACATACATACATACATGCATGCATGCATGCATGCATGCATGCATGCATGCATGCATGCATGCATGCATGCATGCATACAACATAGATACATAGATACATAGATACATAGATACATAGATACATAGATACATAGATAAAACGATACATAGATACATAGATACATGCATAGATGCATGCATAGATGCATGCATGCATGCACAAATGCATAAATACATAAATACATAAACACATAAATACAAAAACACATAAATACGTACAGACAAACGGACAGCCAGCTAGCCAGCCAGCCAGGTAGGCAGGCAGGCAGACATAAATACATACGTACATAGATACATAGATACATCGATACATAGAAGATAGATAGATAGATAGGTAGATAGATACATTCATCCATGCATACATACATACATCCATGCATACATACATACATCCATGCATACATACATACATACATACATACATACATACAAACAGACCGACAGACATACATGCATGCATGCATGCATCCATCCATCCATACATACATCCATGCATGCATGCATGCATGCATCCATACATGCATGCATGCATGCATGCATACATACATACATGCATGCATGCATGCATGCATGCATGCATACATACATACATACATACATTACACACACATACATACATATACAGTTGTGTAAATAGATACGCAATGAATACATACATACATACATACATACACACACATATTATACAGTTGTGTAAATAGATACGCAATGAACATGCTCACCAACAACCGCTATATATATATTTATTATCCTGGTTTCGCTGCCTGCCTTGTTTTGCTCTGGTTGAATCAAGGTGGACCATAAGATCGTCGAAATGGCTGGTTGGAGCTGGACTTACCCACATAAACTGGGCTATGATGTGGCTGGAGTTGTGAAAGCCTTGGGCTCCGGCTGCACGCGTTTGAAAGTGGGGGACGAAGTCTGGGGTGAGGCCGGATATTTTTCAACTGGGAAAGCTCCGGAATCCACCATGACTGGTGATTTTTGAAAGAAAGTCGTGGGTTGAGATGAATTTTTGGAGGTCATGCAACTGTCGGACCTACAGATGCTTTGTGGAGCCAACAGATGTGACTTGACTGGTAGTGCATGCTGGATTTCTGCATGCAATTCTGAAGGCCACTTCGCTGATGGAAGCACCGACAACGGCGGGGACGTATGCTCAGTATGCAGTGGTGTCTGAGTCAGTGCTTGGGCTCAAGCCGAAGACCATGAGTGCCCAAGTTGCATTGCGTTTCTGCTGACACGTCTCATGCCTTTCGTTTTTTTTTTGCATAGCATTGTCATATCATTATCATTGATGCAGTTTCTGTTATATAATGAACAGATTTAAGTAATCAATCACTTCCCCCTAGTAATTATTAAGATACCCCATTAGAACCCCCACTTGAATATTGGATCTATGAATTCTTGGGGCCAGGGAGAAGGTCACATTTGCTTTATAATATCCTCATCCCATGGTGAAATCCTACCGAGGCATGCTCGAAGCAGGCGCCATGCCCATGGTGGCGCTCACGGGGCTTGAGTCTCTGACCTTCGCAGCGCGTGGTGCTGGGCGTTTCCAAAGCCCAAACACAACGGTACTGGTGCTGGGCGGAAGTGGTGGCACCGGTCACATGGGCATCCAGTTGGCAAAGGCACGAAGGCTTTGTAGATGGCTTGAGTTTTTCAGGGTCAATTTGCCAGTCAATATCGGGTTTTCATGGAGCTTTCTAGTAATTCTTGGTTTTGTTTTTCTCACCATCTTTTACCAGAAAGCGTAGGGTTTTCCTGTAATTCATTCCCATTCTGGGTGGCCTTCCAAAGTTTCTTGCAAAGGCCATGGGCGCTGCTTGGATCATCACGACATGCTCCAGTCGCCATGCAGATTTTGTACGTCAGCTTGGGGCGGATCAAGTGATTGACACTGAGCTCCAGTGGGAGCGATGGTGGATCAACAATGAGACTCCGGGGACCATAGATTTTAATTCATTTTGACGATTAACCATCCATTAAAAATTGGGGTACCCAAGTTTGACCACCCATATGTGAACATATGTAGAAGGTATGACAGGTATGTTTTATGAGAAAAGATAACTCTAAGAATGGGGATTTGATAGGAGGATATACTGTAGAACCAACATGAATTTTGGGTGTCTGAATATGGTGGGTTGCCCCCTCAAAGCAGCAATTTGATGGGGAAAATGGCGATTCTATAACCAGTGGATTGTTTGGGCACCCTATTTCAGACAAACCAATAAAGAATCAAAGAGTTGATGCTAACTCTTGATGGGAATTTCACCATCAACATTCAGGGCTGTTGTTGAATGTGTGATTCCCATCCCGATGTTGAGAAGCTTTGAACCATCAAGTCGTTGGCCTCCAGTATTGCTGCATGTGGTGACACCCTCAGGACTACCACGAGCAAAACTACTACGATGTCCTCTTCCCGAAGTCTGTAGATGTGATCTACGACTGTGTTGGGCAAACGGGCACAGGGGATCATGCTTTCAACATCATCAAGAGCCATGGCAGCTTCGTGACGTCAGGGCCTCAGAGGCCGTGTCTGTTTTAAGGGTGGAAACAACATTTTTCCATCCAACTCCAATGGTTGATCAACGTTTTCCCCCTTGAAATGGCCATAACTTGAAGGTCTCACATCCCTTTTTTGGGACTCACATCACCATCATCACCCGTCTCACCACAACCATATTTTGCCCCACAAAAATTTGGCGATTTTGGGGCCATCACGGTGAGGCTGTTACAAGGAGCAAAGGCCTCGATTTCCACCAGACTTCATCGGCCGGATGTTCGGGAATACGCTCCCACCTGCGTTGGGAGTTGTTCCGAACATAAGAAGATAGATATGGCAGCTTAGCTGAGAATCATTTCGCTGATGAATTTAAGGAAGACTTTTGCAGTCAGTATCAAGGATGAGAGAATGTCTCAACTTGGCTTTTTTGCGGTCTGTCTCAGGTCGCCTCTTTGGTGGAACAAGGCAAACTGAAAGTCAATATCGACCAAGTGTTTGGCTTGGAAGATATCGCTCCCTGTCTGAAGTTTGGAACGGAGGATAGTCATGGGAGTGGGAGCGTCTAGGAAACTTTCAATGCACCAGCCTTTCCTTTTCAGCAGGAGAATCGAAGTGCAATGGTTTTGGAGTGTCAGGTTACACCTGTGACTGGAGAAGCCAATCCTTGCCCTTTCCCGTGCCCAGTTTCTGAGGTTAAAGCTTTCAATCAATCGCTTTCTGGACACTCCACTGGAAAAGTGGCCTTGCAGATCTTCGGCAATGCGTCGGAGATTCTGGTGTGAGCCTTGCACTTGGCCGGACTCGGAAAAAGTCTGCTCGCCACACCACCCATGGCTTTAACACACACATACGTTGCATGTGCAGGGATGTGGGTTCCAGGTGGGAAGCAAATTTGTTTAGTGCAATCGACCTCAAGCGATTTCGATAGCGTCGCAGTTGCCTCGACCGGTGAAAGTCTCCAATTGGATCCAGGACGCGAAAGCAAAGCAGCTGTGCTCCTCCGAAAGCGCTTCAGTTGTATCGAGGCTGTGGCATTGCGCTAGCAGGTGCTGCAACAGCTTCCGCCGTCTTCTTCGTGACTTACGTGCCTTGGACCGTAATGGAGTGATCAAGCATAGAATGGCATAGGATGGCATAGAATCATTAGATATACCATATATTACCATATCATTAGATATACCATAGAATCATTAGATATATCTGTATGCTTCTTGTTTCATTAGATATTTTGACCATTTTCGACCATTTTCGACCATATTTGGCATACAGTTTTTCGACCGGTTTTTCAATGGGGATTTCACATGATTGAACCATGAGGCTTTGCTCGCTGTGCACCATGATTGAACCCACAAACCTGGATCATTCTTGTCATTGCACCACCTGGGTTTTCTATGTTTGACTGTTTGACCCATACTGAATTGGGCCAACAGCAACGATATTAACAGTTGGAGTTTTCACATCTGACCCGCATCAACCCAAGAGATTCAACAAGATGTCGGTCACGAGTTGATTGGGGCCAATGACTCACAGCTTTCTCCGCGAGCCAAGTTTTTTTGCTGCCAGGAGTTCATGAAGAAGCGATTGCTGGTGGAGGTGTGGCGTGGGATTTTTGTGGCAGCATTTTCCTCCAGATGCAGAGATGCAGAGCGCCTTGCGCAGGCCGCTTCAAGCCACAGCCAACTCAGTCGCATTCAGCTTGGATCCAAGCCTCAGCTGCTGAGGAGTTTTGGATCCTCGGGGATCCTCCAACGGACTGATCGACTGATCGACTGATCGCTCGGATTAACCTTGGAATGCCCAAGGTTCACTTGCAGTGTCATTGGAGCTTCCGTTGTGGGGGAAGTGGCAGCATCTGTGGTGAGGGTGCCCATTGCCAGTTTCTCAGACGCCCCTGGTGCCATTGGCTGATGACTGAAGATCTCCACGACACCAAGGACTTGATGAAGCAGCGGCTGCAAACGGGCTGCCACTGCCTCGCTTTGCCGATGAGTAGCTCCATTGTGTTGGCGTCGTTTCAGGCGAGTTGCTGTATGTGTGCTGTTTGATCATGGGTGGTTGAGGAGCATGACAAGTCTAGTATTTTGTCGATCTGTATTCATATTTGGATAACGCCAACCCCGGAGTAACACATCCCCGCTGTAAAAATGGGGGATTCCTGTTTAAAAGCTGATTCTCACTGGTTTTTTGGGGGATCCCTAGGATTTTCCTTTAAATGATCCATCTACAAGGTTGCAGCAGCCAGGCAACTGCACTGCGGGACATGTGCCAGAGTTTGCTCCTTAGCATCGATGGACAGCCGGACAGAGAGCAAATGCTCAACGGAGTCTTTTGGTCTTTTGAGGCAGTCTTCAATATCCACTCTATGAGTGTTTCAAGATTGCCCATTCCTCAGCATTTGTTTGTTTGACGTGACGGCGTAGTTCTGGTGGTGTGAAACTGTTCTCTTGAGACAGATGTGGGTTTGTCCAAAAATAGGGGTCCCGGGGGTATCCCCAGATCCAGTGGTTAATCCTAATTTTTTCAATTGAACTTGCCATAATTCATAATTTGGGGTATCACCGATTCTTGGACGCAATTTCCTTAAATGAACTAATATAACTTCATATAACATATGATATGTATAAGTTGGGGGTTTCCCCTCCCCATTCGACAACACAGTTGCCAAATCGCAGGCAGCCAGCAACTGGGTATCAGAGGGTGATGTGAACCATCTTCCAGTGGGGACAGGGCCTTAACGTTTTTGCGAATTGCAAATTCAGTCGACCAAATAGACTCTGCAGAGTCTATGATTGCTGAAAAAAAATCGGGTTTTGTTGTGTTATGTAGCATAGAGTGGTGGATGAAATGGCATCAAGCTAAATTGAGAAAAAAATGATTGCCAGGTTCATGACAAGATTCATGGCCCCCTTTATCCCAGGTGTTCTGCCATTTTGCCTCTCAGGGTGGCCGCAGTATGTGGCAGTGCTGCGGGGCTGATCTCCGCTACGTCGGCAACTGAAGTTGGAGTTCGCTGAAATCGCTGGTGGGGTTAACACTCTTTATTCTTTATCCTTTTTTAAACATGATATAGCTGGGGTAGCTAGCTGCAGTTTGTAAAGCCATGGTTGAGAAGATGGGACGATTCCTATGGTTCACCATCGATTGGATGAACATCAAGCCAAGATGCCCGGAGCTGCTGTTGACTTCCATATCTTCCAATATCTTCCATGCCCAGGTTCACAACACCCTTTGACCTCATCAAGACCCGCGTGAATTTGAGGACTCGGCCCCCTTTTCCTGTGACCAATGTGAGCTGGGCAGCTGGGTCTCCGCTTCCGGCCTTCCAGCGCAGGAAATCTCTCAGTGAAGTGGAGCGCACCAAGATGAAGGATGAACAGCTGGCAGAAAAAACAACACTTACCCTCTGGTAATTTGTTACATAGCTATGGAAAAACACAATTTTTAATGGGAAAATCCACTATAAATGGTGATTTTCAATAGCTATGTTAAATTACCAGAGGGTACTGGTGCGTAAAAAACGCAGGGAATTTTCGGGAATGATCCATTTCATCACTATCAATAATCCAAGCGCCCCCCAGCAACCCATCCAGCAACCCTACGTAAAACGCACCAGTAAGATTGTCCATGGTTGTTTTTTGGGGATTAACCATTATTATCCATGATTAATCATTCATAATTAATATTGTCCATGGCAATTTTCTGTACATCCCCTGAGTTCGATGTGAGGAGCTGATCTTCGAAGAAGTGGCCCGAGTCTACAGATCGGATGGCTACGATCTCAGGATCTACAGATTCTTGGGATTTTTCGCCCGAGGTTTCGCTGTTGTTTTTTTGCGGGACTATGAAAAAAACATAAAAAAACACAACCAAACCACATCATAGTATGATCCAAAATGATCAAAAATGAGCTGTTAAGTTGATCCTCACGACTGGAAACACCAGTATGAAGTTTCAATGGAAGCATTTCAGCTGTGTGAAGAATTTACTTCCCTGCAGTGCCACGGCCATATCTGCCAAGGCTTACGTGGATTCTTCGTTGGAGCTGGATTTCGGGCTGCAACTTGACAGATGGTGCCATTGACAGCGAAGACTTTGCTGAGGATCATCGGTTGATTTCTGCTACTGGTGTATATGTATATATATGTATGTATGTATGTATAGATGTATAGATGTATATATGTATATATGTATAGATGTATATATGTATAGATGTATAGATGTATATATCTGTATGTATGTATATATGTATATATGTATATATGTATATATGTATATATGTATATATGTATATATGTATATATGTATATATGTATATATGTATATATGTATGTATGTATGTATGTACGTACGTACGTACGTACCTACCTACATACATACATACATACATACATACATACATACATATGTATACAGTAGTTGTAGCGACCAGTGCAATTATTTGCACCGCGACGATGCACGGAAGATGTTCTCCTCCTTGTGGACTTAAAACTTTCGCTGCAGAAAACCATTTACGATGGTAGGATGTTTCCAAGTGATGTCATGTTTACAGGATTTTCCAGGATTTCTTGCCCCTTTTTCAGCGCGTGGCCCTGTTTCGGTCATTGGCACCTTCGAGGCTTGGATGTCACTGGGAGGATTTGTCTGGAAGCCCAGGATGGCGATCCAATCAACGGAGTGTGCAATATTTCTGGGATAACTACGTTAAGATTAGTGCGCTATTTTTGTGGGACATTTTTCTGAGATCTTCGTGGGAAAAAATCCAGCTGGTTGGTGGTTTGGAACATGGCTTTTATGCCTTTCCATTAGGAATGTCATCATCCCAACTGCGAAGTCCATCATTTTTCAGAGGGGTAGGTGGCTCAACCACCAACCAGATTATTATTAACTATTAACCATCATTAACCATATAATAACCATATAATAACCATACAATAACAGTATATTAACAGTATAATGACCATCATGTTCCACTCGTCGTCGTCTGGCGGAAGGTGTTTCTTGGATCTTTCGAGCTGACCAAGAGCAGATTAGACTCACTGCGCTCGTGAGGCAGCTGTGTTTGCAGCAATCGTGGAACGTGAGAGGTCAGCCAAGGTTGATAAATATATATATAATTATCATATATATATATTTATATATACACATGTGAATTGTTTCGCACACTCCTAGGATAAGCATCTATTGGCTTTCATTGAACACAGCTATTGTGACTTGTTGGATGTCATTTGCAGAGTTTCATGCACCCACTGATCAGGGCGAAGCATTTTTTATCGAAGACTCATTGAAGCAATCCTAGGTCCTAGCTGTGCCAGGCAAGAGCAATTCTTGGAGCTGCAGTTGCCAAGCGAGCGCCGTGCATGATGCACAAAATCCTTAGAGCTTTCGAAGATCTGCAGATTCAGAGGAACTATCCCAAGATAGAAAAGATAGAAAAGTGGTGCAGATTCCATGGGATAGCAAAACATTTATATACTTTCATGGGTACTTCTCGGATGTCTTTTTTTTTTTTAAACATGCAGACTGCTTCGGAAGCATTCGCATTGATTGTATGCTTTGGACTGTTTAAAACATACGGACGCAGCTAGCCCGAGGCATATCTCTAAGACTCATCCACTTTGAACCATTACCCTGGCTTGTGCAAATCTACTCATCAAGGGTGGCAACATTCTTAGGAGATGTGGCTCATAGTGTTGAAGCTGCCTTGCGACTGGTCTACAGTGTAAAATCAATTGCGATTTGAAGTTGTCCTTGTTTCGGAATCCATAGCCCCAAACTCCCCATCAACTGAGACAAGCAGCAAGACACGCTTCTTTTTGGGCTAGCCATATGCCTCACAGAATCTCAGCCTCACATAATCCTTTCAAGTCGTCGTGCCAAAAAGAGGCGACATCGAACAAGGTGGCAGCTTTGCGGAGCGCCACGGTCGGTGGGCTGAGTTTTTCTCACCCTGCTGGGGTGAAGTCAGACCTCAGACCGAGCTGTGGGCGATACGGCGATACCGGTCTGAATTGTACACAGTTGAAATACCCTCTGGTAAACTAACATAGCTATTGAATATGGCCATAGAAATAGTGAGTTTTCCCATTAAAAATGGTGATTTTCAATAGTTATGTTAGTTTACCAGAGGGTATGTTGAGATATGTTCAGATTGAGGTGACTCGGTTGAATCAAAGATACCCGAGGAAACTCGTTCAGATCTCAAACCCAAATGAGCTGAGCAGTTTGTCCCAGACGCCCAGATACGCCTAGTGAATGTGTGGCCCTTGTGCAAACACCAAAAGCATATGCTGGGCTTGGGTGCTGGGTTGAACTGCCAGCTGGTTCCATTTTTTCATAGCCAAATTTTGTGCACTGGGAGTGTTTCCAAGGAGAACCAGTGCAAGCATACTGAAGACCTCCCAATCACACTAGCCTTGAGGAAAGACTCCCTGGGTGTTGACAAAACACAACATTTCTTTTGCATGGCGCTCCATGTCCAACTGTCATGACGCTATGTCTCGACAACCTGGTTTCGCTGAAAAAGACTCAGACCGAGCCAGTGAATGAAAAGAGAAATGGGCTGAAAAGATTCGTAAAACAGATGGAAGCAACATGAAGCAACTTGGAAACGATTTGGAACAGAACTAATGGAAAACAGCAGAAAACCTGCTCATCTCGTCTTGACCTTGACACTTCTGAAATGGTAAGTTTCCGGACCTTTGCTTGTAGGACGATCATGCGTCATCTCCTGAAACGGAGTGAGCAGCTGTACCGCGAAAGAACGGAAGCCAGCTCGCCAAGTCGGAGCTTTTGCTTTTTTCGCCACGCCCTTGAAATGAATTTCTTGAAGATCTTGTCATCAATAGTCGATTCTGGCAGACACAAGTGATACCGTTGGCAGAGAAAGGCTACAGCGGCTCCGAAAACCTGGAAGTGATTTCGATTCCCAAACCATTTCGCATGAGCAGTTGCCAAATGTGTTGATTGTTGTCGATTGGGGGTGATCTAGCGTTTAAGAAAACTCTGAGGGAGCAAGCTTCCAATCGATTCCCAGCAATTTCAAGCTGCCTTGACCAGTCCCAAGCCCGGTCGCTGAAGCATCAAGCCGACTGGCGGGACGGCATGGCAGATATGATGGGCCCCGAAAACGATGGGGAAGTCATCACAACATCCGTGCCGGATGGTGGGATGGGGACCATCAGGGTGTCGGGTACGCCATCCCAGTGTGGATGGCGTCAGATGCATAGCATCGTTCCATCACCGCTGTGACTGGTTCCAAGAACTTCGTCAAGGCGATCGCTAAAGATCAAGGATGCCACTGGCGGTATGGGAACAACTCTGGAAGTTTACTGATCTTTTTTTCCAGCTTTGCTTAAATGGGGACCATTTTTTAGCCGTTCTATGGTTCTCTTATCGCCTTTGTATCCTGTCCAAGCTGCCAATTTCTGTTTCACTGAGCCGATGAACCTCTCAGGCGCGGACACACGACTGAACATGGGAACGAAGAAGAAGACACTTACAATCATGGATGATTGTGCCAAATTATAGCGACGTATGTCAATGTATACAATGTATACATATATTAATAATTGTAGATATAACACTCAATGGTTTGGTTTAAGGGAAAATCTACAGGAAACCATGGTTTTCCCTTAAACCAATCCATTGAAACACTATATAACACATGACAAAACACAAAAGTGTGTGTACAGAGCCCTGCACCTTTCGTTTTTTTCCGTCATTTTGAGCAGATTTGTGAGTTGCGGCTGGTACTGGATGTGTTGTCGCAGGTGCAGCTCATCAGCTGGCTGTGGGCAGTGGGAGTTCCCAGCCAGCTGCCATTCTGTTGATTCTGATTGCAACCTGCAACCAGGAATTATATATATATAATATTTTACATTATTTTGCATTCTAATTCTAGTCTATATTCTATTTGATATTGATTCGATTGATTGCGTTAATTCTTTCAGTTGGCTTCGCAACGCCAACGTTGCCGATGTTCAGGTTCTTCCAGCTGATTCTGAGCGTTTCAAGCGGCCTTCTCGAATCCAAAAAGACAACAACATAACATTTCAGAAAACATGACATGAGATGACATTGCAACATTGCAAACCGACAGATGGCCATGCATGCATCCATCCTTGCATCCATCCTTGCATGCATCCATCCTTGCATGCATCCATCCCGCCATCCATCCAGTATATTAGTCAGTCAGTCAGTCAGTTAGTCAGTCAGTCAGTTAATTAGTCAGCTAGATATAGATATATAGATACATATAGATACATAGATAGACCATGATAGACCTAGCGATAGATATAGCGATAAATACCTCTACATCGGTAGATTCTGCACAGATCACCTGCAGCGATGCTGGATTTGAGTGGCGGTTGACGTCCCGGGCCACTCTCCGTAAGACACGGATCTTGGGTTTGGTCTAGACAAACGTAGGTTGACGTGCTGGACATTTTTCAAACATTCTCTTAGTATATTAGTGGTGATTTCTAGTTCATTTGCCTGCGTTTTTTGCACCACCTCGGGCCAAGAGTTGTCAGAGTTGCCCCAACTCGAGTGAAAGCCAACTCAGATACCCCACTTGAGCACTCTGTTTTTTCCTCCTGCGACGACTCAAATCAGCACAGATGGCGCCTTTTCAAAGGCCACACCAAGGCGCTTGAAATTTTGGCACAGCACGGGGTTCAATGGCAGCAAGGCCATATTGCCAGCAGAAACAAACGCTTAAAACGTAAGTGGAACTTCAAGATACAGCCAACAATCCCATCTCAGAATGTTGAATGTAGCCAAGAATGAAGCTTAGAAGAAAAAAGGACCTCAGGGTCTTGGACAATGAGCAGATGGCTTTGCTTGTCACTATCCTGTTCACGTGATGTTGTGAACAGCAAGGCTCGAGCTAAAACTGGTGTTTCTGTCGCGTTGGCCGCATTGGTACCTTTTCTTGAAGCTATGATTGGCTATGATCATTTAATCAACCTTCTCGAAAGATGCACCCCCAAATAGTAGATGGTTACTCAATGTTAATGAGCCCTTATGGATGGTTGCGTGGTTCTTGGAGAAGCCCTTAATGAAGCTTCATTCAAAAAGGGGCTGTCACCGGGTGAATCCGGCAGCGGCTTGGCGAGCCCCATGACATTCTCTGGCTGCCGCCGCTTGCGGTTCTGAAATTTGAAAGGTTGGAAACAGCAACAGAACATCTTGATTGCAGACCAAGCACTGCATGAGAAAATTTGACTCATTCGCAAAAGTCAGCAAAACCATGCAAGACCGATTACACATTGGCAAAGCTTTCCTAATGGTCCTAATGTAGTTGCGGCGAGAAACCTCAAGTTGAGCATTTGACAGCAGATCCGGAGATGTTTTCAACTAACTATATGTGACTACACCGATTCTTTCGGTAGAAATGAGGTGTCTGTAGAGCACGATGGAGGCAGGGTGTGACACAGAAACAATTCCCGGGTCGGTGAGATCACAGGGTTTGATCTTGAAGCAAGTTTATCACCCTGGTTGCTTCATGCCAGAGGGCACTCCAATATGACGAAAACATGCAAAAACAACTGCTGGAAATGTATGGACATAGTACTTGCCATATCAATCAAAGGGCCTGATTCATGTTGGGTCTTGGGTCTGATCCAAGCTGCCTGTACCTGTGCACCGTGGAATCTTGGCTCATAGTCAGGCAGGTGCAGTGACTGGAATGTCCACGGCATGTCCACGGGATCATTTTCATGTCATAATTTGTTGTTGGACACGAAAAGAGCTGCCGACCTCACCCTCTGATATTTGAGAAGCATGGCGTCAGAGGAGGCCGGGTACTGTTGCCACAGATGTTGCTACATCAGTTGATCCTCTTCATTTCGATGGCAAAGATGACGGTTTCTTTCTTTTTTTTGCGGCTGATCCCAAGGCACTCTTGCTTGCTGCTCGTGGGGTAGCATAGTTTATTCCGATTCCAAAAGTTGCTGAGGATGGTCCGACATGTGTCTTACACTGGCAAACAACTCTGGATGATTCACTTTAGTTAATAGATTTTATGCTTATACTGATTACACTTCTTTTTATTCAAAAATCACCAGCTACTTCAGTGGCCAAGCTCACATTCAGCTTAAGTTTCGTCCATGCGCTTGAGGTGAGCTCCAGTCAGCAGCAGATGAGGCTGTCTACAACGATGCAGTTCGTGTGACGAAGGCGGGACTGGCGAGCGGGACGACAAAGGGTTGCACATTCACTGAAGGTGTGTAAGGCCTCTGGTTATTCAACATAGCCATGGGAAATGACCCATAGAAATAGATGGTTTACCTATTAAAAATGGTGATTTTCCAGATGGTATGATTTTTGTTGTCCTTGGACTCTTTGAGCCGCTTTTGGAACTACTCAGTGAAGCTCCACAGATTTTAAGTACATCAAACGTTCCCAAATACTTCTGTATGCTAAAGGTCTGCTATGTCTGTTTTAGGAAAGGTATTGCTTTGTTGTTGCCCTTTTATCAACAACGAGTCTTTGGTCCGCCGACGCATGTCTCCACATGGTTCAGATCTTTTCCGGCATCTTCTTTGCCGGACTGGCGGGATGGCTAAGCATGGCAAACGGCACGAAGCTCTCCTTCATTCAGCAGGCCTGTGGCATGGCCGTCACATTGTATGGCATAGTTGATTTTAATGTGAATATATATATATACACATAATGTTTGCATAATCTTAGACACCGATTGAAATGAGTTGAAAGTGGGGCTAGTTTCAACTGTGACATGAGTTTAATATTCATTGGCGCATTGCGAAGGCAGCGTTGGAGAAGCGTTTGACCGTTTGCTGCTTCTTGGGTGTAAGAAACTCAGTGTCCTACAAGCAGGTGCTCCACGGTCACCAATGGTGATGAGCCAAATGGTTCATTCACCATCATTGCCATAGGTATCTCCAGTTGTAGACGCCAAGGTCTACGTGGGTGCATTTTCGGCGTTCTTCAACTTCTTCCAACTTACAGAAGCGACTTGGACCCATACCTGGGTTTGGTATCTCAGAATTATGGAGAAAAACCACACATTTGATGGTTTAATCAGCACTTTGGGGGTAATTATACATATTATACCATATGCATCCATACATGGTCCATACACCTCATTTTCAGACACAGCCATTTCTTTTTTTTGTGTTTCTCATCCTCAGCCGTGTCTCAGTAGTGGCTGAAGGTGGATGATGTCCTTCTTGATCGCGAAGGCTCCTTCACTTTGGACTTTTCGCGGCCGCTGGAGTCCTGGCTAATCAGACATGACCAGCGAGGTTCACTGGGATGGATTTCAGCCAATCCATAGTGTATCCCTCTATTTAATAGATGGATCACTATTCCATGGTTCATGGGATAATTATAGAGGGATACACTATTTTATAGATGGATTTCACCCAATCAGCCCAATCCAATAGGCTGTGCCAACGATTCTTTTTTTGCTTGCCAGAGTTTTTTCACCGGTTTTCATACCTTGGCTTGAGACAAAAAGAAACCCAATAGCCGCTATAGCCCCAACAAAGAATGACGTCTCACCGAGATATTCCAGCGATGACCTGCTTGCCGCAAGCGCGAGAATTTCTCAGAGACCGCAACCGTCGGTCCGTCATCTTACTTGTGCGTTTTACGTAGGGAATGAAGGAATGATCCACTGGCTAACTATCAATAATAGTCCCAGCAACCCCCAGCAACCCATCCATTCCCTACGTTTAGCACCAGTAAGTCATCGCTGTCTCAGGAATGGATCATGACTTGCCCTTTGATGCAGCTCGCTCTGGTTCTGATGGGTGGTTCGCGCATCCCAGAGTACCGGCGCATGGTAATGCCCGGACTGTCGCTGAGCGGCACGAGCGGCAAAAGCTGGAAAGGAAACTCCCGCACTGACTGATGTCCGAAAAATGGAGAGAGGCAACCCTTTGATTTTTGGCAACTAGAACCTTCTTGGACTTCCGAAGTTCTATGCTTGGTAAATGCATACCAATACCCCTCCAATTTCTCCTTTGACATGGTGCTTGTGAAAAAAATGAATACATGAATTACTGTAAATGAACTAAGTGAATAGATAGATTAGATTAGATTATATATAGAGATTAGATGAGATGAGATTAGTTTCGATTAAATTAGATTAGATTAGATGAGATTAGTTTCGATTAGTTATTTTGCCAGGGAGTAGATAGATAGATTAGATTGGAATAGATTCGAGTAGATCAGGTTAGATTCGATTAGATTAGATTAGATAGATATGGTATACTAATACAGACATACATATATGATCATATATGTAGATATACTTCAATGTACCCCCCAACTTGTGATCTTTCTTAAACATCACTCGCATTTCCTGGATCGCTGCTGAGGTCTGTGATCGTTCTGGTCTGCGGAACGGCCTCGATGCTTCTATGGGATGTTTGGGTTTGGACCTCGATTTCTGCGGCAACTCAAAATACGATGGCCAGAAATGGGGTGATCCCCAAGATTTTTGTGATTTTTTCATATTTTTTCCATCCGAATCAGCCAATCATTGAGCCATTTTTCATCTGCACATGGCGTTTACGCCACAGTCGTAATGGCACGTTGACGCCACGAATCGACCGTCGACCAGGTCTACGTGGCGTACGGCGTTGGGTTGTGCTTCGCCTGTGTGGCCTGGACAGTTTCAATAGCATCTGGGTAAATTTCATCACGACTGCGACCGAGCCCTGGAATCATGGTTTTTATATGGGACATCATCCCCTTTTATGGCCGCAAGATTCAGGTTAGTGAAATATTGTAATTTACCCAGATTTACCCAGATACCATCCAATGATCAGAGAATTTTGGACTTTGAGATCTCGACTTTGCCCAGGTGATGTTTTGGCTGAACCGTCAGCAGATTGTTGAGCACAGTGATGGTCAAGAGTGTTTGCTGTTCCTTGGTGAAAAAGGGACGGTTGTATTGAACAAATCGCATGAAACTCTACATTACCCTCTATAGATATCTATAGATAGGATCCTCTAAAGCTGTCTGTCAGTCCTCTGTAGAGACCCAGAGTCTTGCCATGTGTTGGCGTGTCTCGTTGAGCCTTAATGTCTTAGTCTCTCACATTTTCCGAGAAATGGGTTTGCCTTGAATCCATTGCTTAATCATAATTTCCCCCATTAGACAACCATTTTGGGGGTATACTCCATCTTCAGACACAAATGGCAAAGTGGAATCTCTGACCATTGCAGCATTGCTGATTGCAACATCCAGGTACGGAGACTCCGAGCTGCCTGGCAGCACTGCTGGCAACCAAACATGATCGATTTTGATGGGCCAAAATGGCTAAATGCATTGGACTTTGAGCGTGCAGGTGACATCAGGTGACAGTAATCCTCACTCAATGTGATCACATCATGTAGCAATCTTCGGTTAAAACCAGGGTCTATATGAGATGTCTAAACAATCTACCCTGTGTTGGTTACGCGGCAGTGGCTCACCAGGTTCCGCAAAGCATCGATTCTGCTGATCGTGACCTGGGTGCCCTTTCCGACCTTCTACGCGCTCTCACCCGAGGGCTTCGGAAGCTCAGCGTCAGACAGCTGTTGCCACGGCTTTCTGGGTAAAACACGAGACATGAAGAAATAGATCCTGGCGGAGGTTGAAAAGTCTGATACCTACGTCTAAGTATACATATGTACATAATAAATCATAATAATATATGTATATAGACATAATATATAATATATATATATATAGACATAATAATATATATATATATATAGAGTATATAATATATAAAATATTATCATATACACTATACACACACACAGTATATTCTAATTCTGAACATATTTATACTTTAGATCTTTGCACACACACACACACATCCATCCATCCATCCATCCATGCATGCATGCATGCATGCATACATACATACCTACGTACATACATACATACATACATACATACATACATACATACATACCTACGTACATACATACATACATACATACATACATACATACATACATACATACATACATACATACATACATACATACAGTACATACATACATACATGCATGCATGCATGCATGCATGCATCCATGCATCCATCCATCCATACATCCATACATCCATACATCCATACATCCATACATCCATACATCCATACATCTATACATCCATACATCCATACATCCATACATCCATACATCCATACATCCATACATCCACACATCCACACATCCACACATCCACACATCCACACATCCACACATCCACACATACATACATACATACATACATACATACATACATACATACATACATACATACATACATACATACATACATACATACATACATACATACATACATACATACATACATACATACATACATACATACATACATACATACAACATACATACAACATACATACATACATACATACATACATACATACATACATACATACATACATACATACATACATACATACATACATACATACATACATACATACATACATACATATGCAAAGATAGGTATAGGTTCTTCTGTTTGTAGCTTGGCTCCGAAAAGACCCGTTCGTTTCGGGTGCATTTTTTTGGGTTTCGTCTTAAGGAATCATCACTGACATTCTCTTCGTCCAGGCCAAGATCCGACCCTGGGTTGGGAAGTCCCTGGTTCGACGTGATTTGCTACCATATTCTTTAGTAGCAAATCACCACCATTGGCGATACCCCCAATTCTTAAGCCACGTTTGGCCAGGGTTTATCAATGGGTTGATATCATAGCGGATGCTTTTGAGTCTGCGAGTCGTCCCAGAAATTTTTATCGCAGTTTTTGACGCCACAATTTGCAAATTGGGAGAAGCTGTCTTGAAGGTGAGAGCAATGTGTGGACAGATTGGGTGAAGGGTCAGTTCTGCAGATCTTCTATTTTCGCATCCTGTGAAGATCTGTGAAGTGTGGGGCCTTTTGTAGCCACTTGTCTGAAAGATTTGTGGGAACTAACACCGAAACTCTCTATCAGGTCGGCTGGGCGTTTCTGAACATCGTGTCTAAGTTCACCTTCATCTTTTACATTCAAAGGATCAAGGACTGTCACTGTGCCACACCTTGATGTGTGAGTCGAAGCCCCCGGGAGCACTGGACGATCGATAGGACAACTATTGCAATCGCCTGAAAGTGAAGCGCGAGTTCGCCGGAGTGCAGACTGCTGGACCAAAAGGAGGCAATGGTACCCACTGCGGCAGCCACTGAATATTTTTGAACATGTTGGGACCCTGGGTCCATTTTTTTTTCACAAAAATCGGATGGGATGAACCCCAAAATCACCAGTGAATCTGTTTTCCCTGTGTTTGTCAAATGTGGTTTTCTTACACATTGCTGGGAGAATGTACCGAGCGAGGTGGTTTAGTCGGTCCTGATGGAACCATCACCCCACCACTGTCCGGCATGGACTTGGTGAAGTCCAAACAACAAGTCACTCGGCAGGGCAGGGGATGCGCGCGGGCAGCACACCCAATGATTGGTTCACTTTCTGATAAACTGACATAGCATACATAGCGAAGCGGAAAATCACCCTTAACACATATAGCCAAATCAATTATAAATGGTCATTTTCTGTAGCTATGTGACCAGAGGGTATGGGGAAAATTGATGAAAACTGGAACTTGACCGGACCACCACTATATTTCAGGGCTGAAAACCATCATCCATTACCGTGTCATCAAACCTGTCGGATAATCCAGCCAGGGCACCAGACGTTGGTTTATAAGCCCCATGACAACACCCATTAACTAGTCCAATATATCACAGCAATGTCAATATATATATATATATTATATTATATTATATATTATATATTATATATTATATATTTTATATATTATATTCCTTATTAAGTCTAGTTTGTAGATATGTCCTGTCCATCCGTTTTTTGTTTTCCACCACCACGCACTGGCTTTCGGATTAGGAGAAGGCAACAAGCGAGATGGGCGCCCTGGTGGTTGAAACAATGCACCTTGTCGCAGCACTTTGCGAAAAAATGAGGAGTTTTAAGGTGATGTTTTTCTGGAGTTTTGATGGGATTTTCATTGGATTTCAAGGTGATTTCATAGGATTGATTTTTTTTTGGGCAGGGTGACCCATGGCCATAGAACAGCTCAATTTTCTCATTCTTCGATGGCCAGGTGGGGTCGCCAAGTTCAAACACACCCACATCTACATTGGATTATTTCAACACCATATATATATATATATACACAATAGTAAAATTATATATGCATACATAATTTCGTGTATCTGTGATATTTTCACCGATCAATTTCGCTTCAACTTTGGCCGAAGCCATGCCCTCGCCCTGCGAGGAACTTCCTGGGCATGGCGCAAAACTCTGACCGCTTCTTGAGGCGCCGGGAAGATGCGAAAATCATCGAAAATCTGTGGCTACACCGTGAAACTTGTAGTTAATAATGGTGAATTACATGGTTAATCAATGGCTAATAATGGTAAAAATCATGGATAATATATCTTAATAATGGTGAAACTCATGGCTGAGAATGGTGAATTACTCTTCAAAATGAACTAATATGGTAGTTTAGTGGGATTTAATGGGATTATAATCAACTTAACTAGAGTTTATGGTGATTTTGACTATATCTAGCAATCTGAGCAGTGCTCAAGACCTGTATTGGTGGATTATTATATGGGGTTATACTGTCCAATAGATTGGGGAGTATCACAATCATGGGAACTTTAGCAAAACCAGCCAGTATCAAGGGACGACAGGGGGTGAAATGAACACTGCTCATTTCAGGATGGTTGGAATATCATCCACTAAATTTTCATGTAACTAAAAGGGGATTGTTCTGTTTGAACGTTTTTTGTTTCCTTCGGGGTAAACATGCAGATTCTTGATGTTTGCTGGATGGTTAAAAAAACAGTCATCATTTCCTACATTGGTAACAAAACATTAGTAACATAAAGCCAGATCGTTGTTGGACGATTGATGATTGTTGGTTAATTAAAGCACTTATTGATGACTTGGGAGCAAACTCAGGATTTAACCATGGGGATGTTGGTTTGTCCAAACATTTGGGGTGTGGGGTATCTCCAAGAATGTTAAATTTACTGAGAGCAATGAATCATGAAAAACCACTGCTGGGAGATGGGCATTTGGGGCCTAGCACCAGGTTGCTGCAGAAGTCCAACATTACTTCCTTGACAGCTTTGGAAGGCCTCACCCAGGCCCTCTTCGTTTTTTAGTTGGGTTTGGGTCCATTGAACTACCCGAGACGGGATCCCTAGGGTAAATCAGCATAGATGTGGAAAATCCATGATTTCCCTACATCATCTACATATAGTGCATTTTCCACATCTATAGTCAGTTTACTAGAGGGTAACCATTCCATTTCGGAAGAGCGGCGAACCGTCAGCACGAATGCAACAAGCTGACGCTGCCCTGGGATCTGGTTGCTGCGGTGCAAAAACGCTTGCGAGCCGGAAACTCATTGGAGTTTTTTGTTGGGGATGGGTCTGTCTGAAAATGGAAGATAGCTCAGAATTTACGTATGTATATACATACTATTTATGCATATATATATATATAATATATATAATATATATAATATATATATATAATATATATATATATCTAGTTGAATGATTTTGAATGGGGAAAATGAAGATTCGCACTCAAAAATTAGTGGGGTACCCTGTTTTTGGACCCCGCGTATTGATGGGAAAATGTCTCGAGACATGTCGTATTGATCATGAATCACATGGCATGGCTTTTCGAAAATCAAAATCAATCGGCTTGAGTAAGTGCTGGCTATATACTTGTCAAACAAGAATCGTATTACACAAAAAGTGTAACCCTACATGGCTATACTCACATTATATACCAATAGGTTTGGCAACGCTTATAACTTATATAGTACTAATATAGTTATGTAGTATTATGTAGGGTGATACCAGTGATACCCACATACTATGTGTTTTTGTATACCGATAGGTTTGTTATGTACCCTACTATATCCCTATATACAATGATATACCCATAATCCATTGGTTTCGTGTCCTAAGGTGTGGCGCTTGGAGATGCAGGTTACCCCGCCACGTTCGCCACGTTGCCAGTTGTGTGAGCTGAAAAAAGATATATCAAAAAAGATTCAACTGTTTATAAACTTGTTGATGATATGGATTATTATCTATGATGAATGATTAATGTTGATTATATAATGGTATTTGATAGATGTGGATTATTTATTGATAACTTGTTGGTGATTGATAGTGGTTGATGGATGTGGATTATCTATGATTATCTGATTAATGTTGATGATTGTTTGTTTGATTAAACACATATCTCATTTTGATGATGGTTGATTTTGGCCGTCCAGGATGAAGCTGAACTTGCCTTGGAACAAGGTGAACTTCACTACCAGATGGAGGAGCCAAAACGTAGACGTTTTTGCGAAAAAAAGGCTATAAATTAGGGATAGTATAGCTATAATTTTGGGAATTTTATGGTACAATTTGCTATGATCTACATTTGGAATAGCCATAAATTGGGGTATACATACCAAAAAAATGGTCATATACCCCAATTTATCCTCTACCTACTGGTCATGAAGAATTGGAGAAGATGACTATAAACCGTACTGGAGTTTGGACTACGCCATTTTCAGGCACTCATTGTTTTAATCTCAGCTTTAAAGGCACAAGAACTGCAAGAACTTTCTGCTGATCATCTGGGCAACATCTGAAGTATGAAACATACGCGATATCACACAGTGCCCAGTCTTCTTTTGCTGTGACGGATATCTCACTATGATCCAGCGTTTGATTTTTGGAAAGTTCACCATTCGCAACAGTTACCCTCTGGTAATTTGTTACATAGCTATTGAAGATGGCCATTGATAGTGGATTTTCCCATTAAAAATGGTGATTTTCCCATTAAAAATGGCCCTTTGCGGTCACCATTCGCAACATCCTCTTGAGATCGGGGCCCAGGAACCGCTGAACAAGGCTGCTTTGGCGGACAAGCTGCAAGCCATGGCTCCAGGCAACGAAATGACAATCTGGTTGGTGGTGACTGGAACATAGGGAAAACCCATGGCAAAACCATGAGAAAACCATGGGAAAATGGTGATATTTATATGGAATGGGTAAATCAACTACTGGTTGGTGGTTTGGAACATGATTTTTTTTCCCCATCATATATGGGACTGTCATAACCCCAACTGACTCATATTTTTCAGAGGGGTAGGTCAACCACCAACCAGCAATGGATGATTCCAGATCTAGATCTAGGTTGAATTCATGGACTACCCAGGATTCACAGAGCGGGCTTTCCACATGAAGAAATGTAACGATGATTCCAAAGTTACATTACAAATGGCACAGCCCATATCAACCATAACAACATGTCCATTTTTTCTTGTACCCCCACAATGCCATCATTTTTTAACTTGCTTTTCTTGAGCGACCTACCATGTTGAAACAACACCCGTTGCAGGTGTTGCAGGAGGGCCCTCGCCAGCACACCAGCAGTCACCTGTTGCATACCAAGCGATGAACGCTCCAATGCTGTTCGCGCCTCAGAAACATTGATATCGCCCCCGTTGGAATCGTTGTTCGTTGAAAGCCAAAAAAGATGAGGCCCGGTATGATCGATGAGCCACGCATTGCCCGCCTTGAGGCAGGCTGCTTTTGTCGCTTTTGTCGCTTTTGTCGCTTTTGTCGCTTTTGTTTTTTTTCCCCAACAGCGCAAGGGTCTTCAGCCCAGAATAGCTCCGGTGTGCACTGGTGCAGGCGCCGGGTCAGGTTCAACGAGGTTCCAGAGAAGGTTCCGGAGAGGTTCAGCAAGGTTTCGAAGAAGGTTCCGGAGAAGGTCGGGGACAGAGCTAGGTCAGGTTCAACAGGGTTCCGAAGAAGGTTCCGGAGAAGGTTCCGGGAGGCTTTGGTGCAGAGCCAGGTCAGGTTCAACAGGGTTCCGGAGAAGGTTCCGGAAAAGGGCTATTGTGCAGAGCCATGTCAGGTTCAACAGCGTTTCGGAGAAGGTTCCGGAGAAGTGGGAGGCTTGGGTGCAGAGCCACGTTAGTTTCAACAGGGTTCCGGAGAAGGTTCCGGAAAAGGTTCCGGGAGGCTTTGGTGCAGAGCCAGGTCATGTTCAACAGGGTTCCGGAGAAGGTTCTGGAGAAGGTCCAGGTCAGGTTCAACAGGATTTGCGGCCATTTAACTCACGGAAACCCAGCTGAGGTGTTTCGAGCGCTTGGCTTCGCAGCACGCTTCAGAAAGATTTGTAAAAATAAAACGTTGCGGCTGTTGGGGATACCACCGAGGCTTATTTGTTTTTGATTGTTTTTGATTGTTTTTGATTGTTGTTGATTGTTGTTGATTGTTGTTGATTGTTGTTGATTGTTGTTGATTGTTGTTGATTGTTGTTGATTGTTGTTGATTGTTGTTGATTGTTGATTGTTGATTGTTGTTGTTGTTGTTGTTGTTGTCGTCGTCGTCGTCGTCGTCGTCGTCGTCGTCGGCGTCGTCGTCGTTGTTGTTGTTGTTGTTTCAATGGCCATTTCAGGAACCTAAATTGGAGGTACCTACCATACATAAGGCCTATGTAAGGCCTATGTAAGGGAATATCCCCACAAAATATGGCCTTATATGGTACAGTACCTCCATTTTAGGATCCTGAAATTGCCATTGGTTGTTGTTGTTGTTGTTGTGGTGATTGTTCTTGTCTTCATTGGTTTTCTTTAATAGGTGTTTTTCCAGATTCATATGGTTGTTTTGCATTTTGGGCAAATGTAAACCCAAGTTCTAGACAAACCCGTGTGACTAGCTTCAAGCAGCTGGCTGTGAAGCTTCCGAGTGAAACAGGACACTTTGATGGCGATGCAACAGCAGACTGAGACCATCCAGCAGCAAAACGAGTACTTCCAGACTGAGGCGGGATGGGCCAATTTGGGACCCACAGAAGCCCTGCCTTTGGAACAGCACCATCCGAACAGTCTCAGCGCGCCCCTTTCCAGGTCTTGCGCAGGCTTTCCGAACAGCAACAGCACCTGATGCAGCCCATGCCCTCCGTGACCACCACCCCCAATGGGACAGCACCAGTGCAGCAGCAGCTGCCGACCCAACTGCTGCAGCAGCTGCAGCAGCAACTGCAGCAGTATGAGAACTTCCAGACAGAGGTCATGCGCAGGCTCTCTGAAGTGGGCGCTGACAGCCCGCCGCTGGACGTGGTCTTGTCGTTTCTTTTCTTTTGGTGGGGATATCAAAGGCAAAGGTGTCCCAATCGGGATTTTGTGATGACATCATCAGGCTCGCACGGCTTGCCAAATGCACCGTTGACAAAGTGAACGGTTAGAACATATACAGTATAAGTTGGTGAAAGGCCATAAATATGCCAGAAACTTGGGTCGCAAGCCGCAAACCCATGTTTTCTGCCCAAGGAAAGCCGCACCATCAAGCTTGAGGAACACCATTGAGATGACGGTGGCGGCCACACTGAAGAACAAGGAGAGGGGGCTTGCGATTCGTCATTCTTTCCTCTTGAGCTGTTAGAGATAGGAATCGATCAAGATCCACAAAGCAGATTCGGAGGCACGACAGACGTGCCCTGCGTCTAGGAGATGGAGAGCCTCTTCGAGCACCGCATTGAAGAACTGATTTGTGCGGCACAAGTCCGCATCGAACAGGCACAGATGTTAGCAAAGCCCAGGTCCTTGGTGGTGAGAAAGTGAAATTGCACTGGGTCATCTTCATGGTAAAGTTGTATATTCCAATATGGGAACCCCACCCTCACCCAACCACTAGAAGGGAATGACGGAGAGTTCCTGGAACTGCTTCAGTGGTTTCTTCTGCTAGGCTGCAGACAAGGTCAGCGACAGCCTCCGCGCACAAGTTCGTGAAGTTCAGGTTGGCTCCCTGAGAATCTCTCTAGACCTGCCACTCCTTCAAGAACCTCTGCCTGTTCCTCTTCGCCCAATTGTCAACCCATGACCCTCACATTGATTGTTCAATTGTTCTGTTAAGATCTCTTGAGCGCCTGCTTGACTCGCCAGGGCGCTTATGATCGCGCTCGCGAGACCGAAGGCACCTTCATCGAGAAGGCGGATGAAAAGATGAAAGCTTTCATGGTGAAGACAGAGGACTGCACGGACCGCACGGATCGTTGCCATACACGGATCGATTTTGCGTCTGGGGTTGGACCGGATGTCAACCACATCATGACATTGAAAGCTGCTAACGATTTTTTGCTGGACCACAAAGGAGAAACTGCAAGCCCACATCGAGAAGTCTGATGAGAACATGCAAGCCTACATCGGCAAGACTGACGAGAAGATGCAGACCTTTATGGCCAAGACAGATGAGAAGATGCAGATGGCAGTTGAGGACCGATGATTTCGATGTGACAACGCTTACATTTGCAGGAATGAAAACAGTTTGAGTGCTGACTCTGTGCTGCTTAAGGGTGATTAGATTGCATTCTGGGTGAATTAAGGAACGTACCCTCCAGTAATCAAACGTGGCAATTGAAGATCTCCCGTCTATAGATGATTTTTTCCATAAAAACTTCCATTTAGTTCAGGGATTTCCCGGCTAGCTACGTTTGATGAATGGAGGGGGAGGCTATATTTGTTACTGCCGAAAAATGCTCTGCTCATCTCAGGACGTCAACAAATCTACCGAATACACCAGGCCACATCCGTCGCAGAATGAGCCGATTTTGAACCAAGATTGTATAAAGTAAGCCAAAAAACACAAACTAGCCACCCATATAATGTAAATTATCCGTCTGAAAATGTAAGATACTACTTTTCTAGCTTTTTGGGTGTTGCTACAGATTCATTTCTCCTTTTCCTGTGGAAACTGCTGGGCTTCGTTTCTTCCTGTCAGGCGAGTCTTGTCTGACTATCTCAAGGAAGCTCGCACTGCCCAAGAGAGCCGCAACAGCGACCGTCGTCAGGCCGAGCGGCCGATTGGGTTTCACATTTTGCCAGAGATTCCTTTGATTCTGACAGATGGACTTTGAAATTCAAGTGATTTAATTGTCCATCCTATCTGGGACGATGGTCCATCTTGGCCATTTCGATTTGATTGGCGTGATTGCGATTGATTTGACACCAAAGGCTTGTGAGCCACCGCAACTTCGCGCTGTAGGAGGATATGGAGCGCAACTTCGCGCGCAAGTTGGAAGACAGCAATGCCAAGATCCTTGAAAAGCAGGCCGGCTGGATTGGTTGGATCTGGAAAATCCTCTTGAAACTCACAAACAGCAAGCCTCTGCTCTAATTACGGATTAGTGCATGAAATCACGATACAAATTATGTGTATATAAATATGTATATACATGTATATACATACATATGTATATATATATAGATAGATAGATAGATAGATAGACAGGTAGATGTAAATTCAGTATACAACAATCAATATTAATCATCAAAGGAAGTTTCGTAGAGAAACTCCGAGTTACAGATTGTTTTTCAGTAGCATGAGCCAAATATCATTAAGTCCAGTTGGCATGTTCCTGAAGTAGAGAAGTAGCTCGAAAGATCCTGAAGTCCAGTTGGCGTGTTCCTGAAGTGGAGAAGTAGCTCAAAAGATCATGAAGTCAAGTGGGCATGTTCCTAAATTAGAGAAGTAGCTCGAAAGATCCTTAAGCCTAGTTGGCATGTTCCTGAAGTGGAGAAGTAGCTCGAAAGATCCTTAAGTCCAGTTGGCATGTTCCTGAAGCGGAGAAGTAGCTCAAAAGATCATGAAGTCAAGATGGCATGTTCCTGAAGTAGAGAAGTAGCTTGAAAGATCCTGAAGTCTAGTTGGCATGTTCCTGAAGTGGAGAAGTAGCTCAAAAGATCATGAGGTCAAGTTGGCATGTTCTTGAAGCAGAGAAGTGGCTCAAAAGATCATTCAGTCCAGTTGGCATGTCCATGAAGTGGAGAAGTAGCTCAAAAGATCAATAAGTCAAGTTGGCATGTTCCTGAAGTAGAGAAGTAGCTCAAAAGATCATGAAGTGCAGGTGGCATGTTCCTTAAGTAGAGAAGCAGCCCAAAATATCCTGAAGTCCACTTGCCATGTTCCTGATGTAGAGAATTCCTGAAGTGGAGAAGTAGCTCAAAAGATCATGAGGTCCAGGTGGCATGTTCCTGAAGTGAAGTGGTGTTGCGATTCTTTTGTGTTTTGCAACTCCTTGTCGCTAGATCGCATTGGAACTGCTACATCAAGCATGGGAATTACATGTGAGGATTTGAAACATTGTGTTTTTCCTGAGATAGCGCAGCCATTGTTGCTAAATCGCATTGGAAATGTTGCATCTAAGGTGCGATTTGAATGTTAGGCTCGCTTGCGCGACGGGGTTAGGCATCGTCGGTTTAGTGTGGAATCTCGCAGTGGAGTGGCTGCGTCAAGGTTCCTCGCTGCTGCGGCTGCGTGCATGATACTAATGTCTTTTGCAGCTGAGAATCGCAAACCTTTTAGAGTGGCCGCAATGTAGGTTGCGATGGTGATGTTTCAGCAGATTTTTCTCCATTTAAAAAGTGCTTCAAAATCGTCTTTTTTTCGCTTCGGCGCCGAGATCCGGTTTTGGAGCTGCAGTTTCTGTTGCCTTTGCGCGCACTTCTATGGAGTTTCGCAGCTGAGGCTCTGCAGATCGCAGTGAAGCGGCTGCGTCAAGGTTCCTGGCTGTTGCGGCTGCGTGCGTGATACTATTGTCGTTTGCAGCTGAGAGTTGTAAATTGTAAATGGTATTGGAGTGGCTGCATCAAGGTTGTGATGGTGATTTGGGAGCAGATTTTCCCTTTCAAATTCCTTTAAAAAGGTGCTCCAAAATCGCCTTTTTTAAAGCTTTGGCGCCGAGATCCCGGTTTTGGAGCTGCTATTTCTGCTGCCATTATGTACGTTAAAGCTTCTCTGTGCAAAATCTGGCTCTGTGTAAAAGCTTGCTCCGTGCAAAAGCTTCTCCGTGCAAAGCTTCTGTGTGTTGTGTGCAAAAGTTTGCTCTGTGTAAAGGGTTCTGCGTGTAAAAACTTCTGTGTGCCAAAGCTTCTCTGTGTAAAGTCTTCTCTGTGTAAAAACTTCTATGTAAAAGTTTCTCTGTGTAAAAACATCTGTGTGTCAAAGCTTCTCTGTGTGAAAACTTATGTGTGTAAAAGTTCATTTTTTGCTCATTTGCTGGCTCGAAAGGTAATCCTACCTTGCAGCTTATGCACATTCCGAATTGGGAAAAAGATGGTGCCAGCTTCGTAGCTGTCGGCCAAACCATGCTCAAGTAGCGCGTGGCTGATGGTCTGGAAGGAAGCTGGCGTCCGACCTAATGGTCATTCCTGCTTCAGCCACTTCAGCCATCCAGCCAAAAATCTCACCTGCCTCCATCAAAATGTCTTCCCTACTCACAGCGCGCGTCCTCCCACCACGTTGCGCCGCTCGAAGGTGTGTGTAGAAGCTGGCTGTGTAAAAAATCTGTGTAAACCCTTCTCTGTGTAAAAGCTTCTCTGTTTAAAACTTCTCTGTGTAAAGACTTCTCTGTGTAAAAACTTGCTCTCTGTGAAAAAATGTGGGTGTAAAAACTTCTGTGTAAAGACTTCTCTGGGTAAAAACTACTCTGTTTAAAAACTTGTCTATGTAAAAGCCGGCTGCGTGTAAAAACTTCTGTGTGTAAAAGCTTCTCTGCGTAGAAGTTTCTCCGTGCAAAAGCTTCTGTGTGTAAAAGCTTCTGTGTGTAACAGTTTCTCTGTGTAAAATCCCTCTGTGAAGAGAGGTGGGAAGAGGTGAGAAGAGTTAAAAAGAGTTGACAAGAGGTGAGAAGAGTTGAGATGAGCTGAGTACAGGTGAGATGACTTGAGCAGAGGTGTGAAGAGGGAAGAGTTGAGAAGAGGTGGCAAGAGGTGAGGGAATCTGAGAAGAGGTGGGACGAGGTGAACAGAGTTGAGCTGAGGTGGGAAGAGGTGAACAGAATCGAGTTGAGATGGGAAGAGATGAAAAATATTGAGAACAGTTGAGAACAGTTCTGAGAAGAATTGAGAAGAGCTGAGATGGTGTGAGAAGAGCTGTGAAGAGCTGAGAAGTGGTTGCCTCAGTTGCAAAAGGGTGAGGCAAGATGAGGAATTTGCAGAACAGAGTTTCGAAGATGCGAGGCTTCACGCCAACTCCTATAGGCAAACCTTGTCTTTCACTCCTACCTATAGTGTAACATTCCTTGCTACGGGAAACTTCCGCCACCCGCCCCGTGCGGGTTTTCTTTGTACATATTTAACTTTACGTTTGATATGAATACTGCAAGAATCTTTGAAACTGGTTTTACCAGAATGAACTCGCAACTCTGTGAGTGATCGGCTACTTGATGATACCCATAAATGGGAACAATTATATCGACATGTGAGCTGATTCTGAACCAACTAACGTAGTAAACCCAGGAACCATCCATCCCGGATTTACTGGGAACGGGCTGGGTCGTATGTAAACCATCCCCAATTCAAGGTTTCTTCTTGAGTTTTCCCACATTCCTCAGTTCATGATTTCTGGGTAATAACCTGCAATTGGGATAGATATAGTGGCTCATATTATGCATAAACCAGTTTTTAAGTTCCTTGAAGTGGTTTTTCAATCAACATTTCCGGTGCAGGACCGCGTGGCGGAATTCCTCCGCGGTGCCCTGCAGAATGACATCACCACTGTGATGAGTCGCAGTGACATGGTGGTGGTAACCTGGCCCTCGGGGCAGCCCGGAAAGCCACGGAAGAACACCATGAAAACCACTTAGACATTTCCCCAATTTACTGGCTTATCATCATTTTCATCAGGAGAATTGGGCAGACTAACCCACATGACCAATTTTTTTTCTAGGGAGAAGAATCCATGGCATTTCTCTTATTTTTTTTTTCTCCCGTCGTACGCTGCGACCCGTTTCTGAGGTTGCTTTTCTGCTTGTCAGCGCGCATTTATGTGCATATTTCTCCACGGCAGGGTTTGGGTGGGGTGGGGGTGGTTTTGGGTGGGGGCTGGGGGGTGGGGGAAATTCTTTTGCAGGGGGGGTTGGGTCGTTTTGTCGCGTTCGTTTCTTGGCTGTCGTTTTTTTTTTTGGTGATCTCTTGTTGCTTTGCTTTGGAAGTTCTCTTGCACGTTTGAACATGTTCTTGATGCTACCCTTTGGAAGTTCTCTTGCAATCTTGAACACGTTCTTGATGCTACGCTTTGGAAGTTCTCTTGCGCTCTTTAACACGCTCTTGCTGCTTCGCTTCGGAAGTTCTCTTGCGCTCTTTAACACGTTCTTGATGCTACGTTTTGGAAGTTCTCTTGCGCTCTTCAACACGCTCTTGCTGCTACGTTTTGGAAGTTCTCTTGCGCTCTTTAACACGCTCTTGCTGCTAGGCTTTGGAAGTTCTCTTGCAATCTTGAACACACTCTTCTTGCTACGCTTTGGAAATTCTCTTGCACTCTTTAACACGCTCTTGCTGCTAGGCTTTGGATCTTCTCTTGCACTCCTTAACACGTTCTTAATGCTACGCTTTGGAATTTTTCTTGCAATGTTAAACACGTTTTTGCTGCTACGCTTTGGAAGTTCTCTTGCGCTCTTTAACACGCTCTTGCTGCTTCGCTTCGGAAGTTCTCTTGCGCTCTTTAACACGTTCTTGATGCTACGTTTTGGAAGTTCTCTTGCGCTCTTCAACACGCTCTTGCTGCTACGCTTTGGAAGTTCTCTTGCGCTCTTTAAGGCGTTCTTAATGCTACGCTTTGGATTTTTTCTTGCAATGTTTAACGCGCTCTTGCTGCTACGCTTTGGAAGTTCTCTTGCGCTCTTTAACACGCTCTTGCTGCTACGCTTTGGAAGTTCTCTTGCGCAAGTGTGCTGGCATCCCAGCCGCCCATGCGTGCTATCACGTGGATTAAATGACACCTCTGGTTTCGATTCCAAAATGGAAACTTTCTGACAAACAGAAAAAACCTTGCATAAGGCAGCCAAATCTCCTTGTGGCGGCAAGAAAGCAGCTCTGGAACTCAAAACAGTGTTTCAAATTGTCGGTGGAGATAACGCCACAGAATTTGAAGTGAATCGAACAAAGTATCAGCTGCGAAGGACCAATGCACTTGGACATGGAAACCCATCGAACGCTCATGCAGACTCTTGCGTCAACCTGGTCTGATGAATGTCCTCAAAGCCATAGGACAAGCTCGAGAAAGGTTCAAAAATGCAATGGGACATGAACCAAAGGAGTTCCTCGTTCTCGACCAAAACAGCCCTTGGCTGTTCGAATGACCTCAAAGCCAAGAAAAAAACGCTTCAGCTTCACTGAGGTCACCTGTCAATAAAACGGGTTCAACAATAACTAAGTACCTGATTGATGTCAAACTCGCCACTTCGCTGTAGCCCCATTCAACATCACTCAACTCACCTTTCAAGGAATTTGGCACAAAAAATAAAAAATGAGTTTCGCTGTAGTGAAAACACAACCGACATGAAAAACATGCATTTCGCTGTAGCCCCGTTCAACATCAATCAACTCACCTGTCAAGAAAACAGAGTCAACAAAAAAGTAGTTCTTTGATACAAATATTGCAATTTCGCTGTAGCGAAAACACGATCGACATTTAAACACATGCATTTCGCTGTAGCCCCGTTCGACATGCACGAAACTGTGTGCCAATGAATTTTTGTTCAATTTTACAAAACAAACTTGGAATACCATAACAGTGTCAGATAAAAAATCCACAAAACACCGCAAAAACCATGCGTCGTGACGCACTACTGGACCGTTGTTTTCCCCTTGTAGCTCCTGGTAAAGGTCTTGGTGCAAGCGTAAGCAAATTGAGCGGATCGATCTACTCTCTCTGCCATGGCGCAACTGCTCTGCCATTCTACGAAGGTTTGTTTTTTCTACTAAGGGAAATCTACAATGGCTGCTCTTTGTGAAATGGTGATGTCCAAGGACGACTCTGCTTACCGTCATGGTGCCTCCTTTTGTGGATCAACCATTTGCCTATTCATGGCCTTTTCAATACCGCAAATACGATGGACGCTCCCTTCATGTCGTTTTCGGGCTTCTGCTGCTAATTCTGCTGGAGATCTCCCTCATCCTGGGTTAGGGGCACCCAGACTGCATGTCTCTCATACTTGGATTCCTCCTATTTTCGCAGTGATGGCACGTTTTTCTCTTTTTCGCTCAACTCACAGCCATTGCTGGGAGCACTTTGCCGAAGATCTGTTTGCGCACCCCTTCCGAATCGACACTCACGTGTGGGGGCCGCCAGTGGCTGACCGGGAGACCGCGGCAATCACTGTGCGGATGATGGCTCTTGATTAAGCCGGCATTTACCTCCTCCATGACATGCAAGCGGTCACGAACCCCACAGTGCGGCGGAGGGCAACCTTCTTCAAATCAAGCAGTTGGCCTTTCAATTTTGTAGACCTCTTTTTGGCAGCACCTTGAATTTAACCCTAACAGGGTGTTGTCCCCTTCCGACAAGGGTGCAAGTTAGTGCATGATCCGTTTTCGTTTATTAGGGCAGATTTTCCTTCCAGCATTTTGAGCCCTCTTGGCATGCACTGCTGAAGTGTAGTCCAGAGGCTTTGTAGCCGACGGCATTTCGCTGGTCAAAAAAGCTCCTGGCAAGCGTTTCTCTAGTGAAATGGCCAGTAACTTGGGAGGTTCTTGGGTTCCCCCGTTTTAAGAACTTTCCATGCAGATTTAAAGATCATAAAGACTACTTGCTAAGGATGTGGTGAAGGAGAACGGCATGATGGTGAAAGAGTCTTTGGGAGATCTCAAGCGCCTCCAGGTCAACGGCCTGGAAATTGCCAATGCAACTCAGGAACAGAGTTGCCGCTCGCAGACCCACCCGCAATCCGCAATCCCTTCTAATAGCAAATGCCTTCCAGACAAAACCTTGATGTAGTCTTGGATCTATTCACCCATAGCGGTCATTTCTTGGAGGTAGATGTCTTGGGGATGGCATCAATACTTCAACGACTGACTATGCGGTATTGCAGGACACAGCTCAGCAGAACCTCCATCGCGCCGGAGAAATTCGCAACGCTGTGGAAGGAATTTCATCACAGACACTTGGATTCAACATATTAACGCAGAAGTCACCATTTTGTGACGGTCAAAGGTCGGAAGTCAGAAGTCATTGCATTTGAGTTTAATATGAAAATTATGGGAAACGCATGGAACCCCCCTATTGAGATTGCTGTTCGGGCCTATCCCCCATTGTAGACACACCCATTGGATACAGCCGAGATTATGGATACAACATGAACGGAGAGTAATTATTGGGCTAATCCTCCAGTCGGGTTGTTTGAAATTTAAGGGAAAACCCAGCAAATCCAACGACTATCATGATTTGTCATAATTTTCCACATCAAAATTGCCATGAATTGGGAGAGAGAAAGGGAGAGAAAGGGAGAGAAAAGGAGAGAAAGGGAGAGAAAGGGAGAGAAAGGGAGAGAAAGGGAGAGAAAGGGAGAGAAAGGGAGAGAAAGGGAGAGAAAGAGAGAATTAGAGAGAGAGGGAGAACATAGCATGAACTATCGCATTTTCAGACACATCCAACATCACATTGTAGTTGGTTAATCCCATTACATATCTATTCCCATTCAATCCGCAATGGTGGGGAAATCCCACACTTGAGGCTCTCTGACGCGCCCTCGCGCTCCGCTTTGACCTATGGAGACCGTATCGGAGATCGTAGCCCTGCGAACAGCTACCGTGGTTGCTTGGCTAGGGCTACCACAATAGCTGGATGGTTTCATGGAAAATCCTAGTTAAAAATGGGATGATGCAGGGGTTACCCCTATTTTAGAAACCCTCTATATTTTGTGAATGTTAGTAAACCAATAGCGCCCACCATCCTGATTTTTACCATAAATGGGTGGTATAAATCATCAACTTATGGGTGGTTTATGATTGCTTTACTAAGATCATAAAGTTCATTGGCAATCATGACGTATGACGGGTATGGCCCATTTCTGGACGAACCCTTATCATATTGTTGATGATATATAATGTAGAGGTGTACACATTATCAGAAAGGTTATATATATCCCCATGCCATGGCAGGTTTCCCACATAAAACCGTATGATACCCAGAATAATATCAAGCCTGAATTTCTATTTTCCCCTGGGCTGATGGTACCCTTTTGGTAGCAGATTGTGATGAAGTATCACTATTTGAGGTATGAACGTGCATTGACACACACACATATATATATATAATTATATATATATATGTATATCCATATATCTGTTCCAAACATATATATATATGTTATATGTATAATATTAAGTAATTAGTTAATTAATTAACTAGTTAATTAATTAATTATTTAATGCATGGATACGACATCAGTGAAATTAACATCAAATCGAAAATCACAAGATATTGATATATGGGTGCTGGCTGTATCAACATCGATGCAGGCATTCTTCATATCCCCCAAAAATGGAGCTTTACTAAGCCCTGACAGGTGAGGAGCGTGAACGACCAGCAACGGCAGGCCTGGAGGGCAACCATTCACAAAGGAACCCCCCATGGATTTTACATTATTAACCATTATTAACCATTATTAACCAGGTATATTAACCACATATTATTAGGGCCCAACCACCAAGCGTTGGAATAATCTGAAACCTTCGGCCAGAATCTCAAGATCTAACCATTCTGATGGGCATTTTTTTGCGAATCACCGTCTTCACCGTCATGGCAAATCTTGATGAATGGCCATTTGCTTTCAGCTGACATGGGATGCAGGGTTTGCAGATAAGGGAGGGCTTTCAACAAGCACTCGGTGGTCATTTAGAGCAGTGAGGTGGAATTTTCATGATATTTCATGTTTTGGTGGTTCTTGAAATTGATCCCTCTGCAATGGGCTGATGTTTGGGATCTGATATCAACATATATATATATATGTAATATATATATATATATGTAGTATATATATATATGTATACGTGTATAATATATATATATATATTGCGGTTACATTACAAATTTGTGACCCTGTCGCACTCAGGTTTTGCAAAGCTTTGCCTGGCCAATGCGTTGGCTCAAGGCGACTCAAACTGAGATTGCCAAGGAAAACAACGAGGTGTCATTGGGACGCGACTTTAGTTGTTGGAGCCCATAACATTGGGACGCAACTTTAGTTGTTGGAACCCATATCCACCTGGTTTGTAGCCTCCCGTAGGTTATGAGCCCAAACTGAGCTCTGCAATGGAGCGTCGTCGACGGTCATCTTCGAGGGCAAGGGACGCTGATGAGTTCCTAGCTACGGAGAACGAAACATCGGATGAAAGGTTGGATCGGTTGATCCAGGAGGAAGGAAGAGGAGAACCAGCTGTGAGGTCGGTGAGGATCTCTGCGAGGGCTGATGCTCCACCTGCTCGAGGCGAAGGTCAACCAACTGGAGATGAAACCCAAGAGACCGGAGCTGTAGTGCCAGCAGAGGGTACTGTGGCGATGGATGAGGGGAATCGAAGGTTGATGGAAGGCCTGTCGCCTGAGCAACAAGGCGTTCTAGCGAGGGCTGCTGAGGCTCTACGCGCTGGACAAGCCCTACAAATAGCGGATGGGTGAGGCGACCTGAGTTCTTGCCGCCGCCGCTGCAACTTGGTGATGTATCTGTACTAGCGGGACATCAAGATGGAGCCGGAACTGCTCGAGCACCTGGTGGGGGTCAACTTGATTGTCGGCCTGGGGTACAAGGTGAGGGAGGTGGTGAACGAGACGATCAAAGAACCGGAGGATATGGTGGAAGCCTGTTGGGCCCTTTAGCTCTACCTCCTGCAGATCTTGTTCTACGACCTCTTGATCTACCACCTCAAGGTCAACCAGTCGCTCTTCAACCACCCGGGGGACATCGTCAACGTTCTGAACTTGCTCTACAAGATCCTGGTGCACAACGAGTAGAAGGACCGGAGGGTTTGATCACACCACCACGTCCACCAGAAACCAATGTGTTTTGGAGTGAAAAGGTAAGGCGTGAGGTTGAAGGTGGGGTTCAAACTGGTCAAAATGGGGCTGGTCAGCCAGCTCAACCGTCTGAAACAGCTCGACCGTCTGAAGCAGCTCAACGTGCTGGAGGGTTACCACATCAACATGGAGCTGGTCCTGGTGAAGGAGCACGAGCTTCTGTGGTGTTGCCGGATGGGTTGACTCATCGAGATCTCTTGGAACTGGAAGCCCTGCAGGCCCAGGCGTTGAAAAATGTTGAAAACCAAATCCAACAAGAAATAGCTAGGCGTAAGGCGGCGGCTGGGGGTAGTGGTTCGTATGGGACACCTCAAGGGGGGAGTAGGAATGATGAGGGGATGCAACAGCCCAATATCCCTACTCCACCAGGGTTACCTCAAACCACCTCAGTTTTGGGAAATCCCCCAACGGCTAGCGTGAAGAACGTTTTGGGGTTTGGACACACGCCATTCAATCCACCTGCGATCCATGGTGACATGGGAATGCCAGTTGGTGCAGGAAGCTTGTCGTCAGGGTTGAGGGTTGATGGAGCTCAGCACCCTCCGGGGACCGCTGCGGCTCAAGTTGGGGAGTCGTTTGCAGAAAGCCTGAGGGTTTTGGAACTGCCTCGCTTGAGTGAAAACACAACAGCGTTGTCTCTAGGGGATTGGTTGGCTGTAATCGACCCAATCATGTCTGACCTTAGCTCCACTTCAGGAGTTTGGTGGCAGTTGATTGTAGGTGCTGCTCAGGATGGGTACCGCCAATGGATCTTGTCAGGACCTTTGGACCGACTGAGGTTACGTCCACCGGTGCCTGCCGAAGCATCCAAGTGGCCACGCACTGAACAGCGAGCTGTGACCATGCTTCTAGCTTGTCTTCCCGAAGGAGTTCGACGTGATCTCATTGCTTCTCGGCGATTGTCAACGGTCGAGATCATCTACAAGCTGCTGATCACGTACCAGCCTGGAGGTCCACAGGAGCGGACCGTGCTCTTGAAGGACATCACTGAGGATCGTCTTGGAAACAACCCGTCAGTGCAGGAGGTTCTCAACACCTTGAGGATGTGGAGAAGAAATGTCAACAGGGCGAACGAGCTCAAGGTCACCTTGCCTGATACTTTGGTGATTGTGGGCGTGCTGACCAAGTGGGCAGAGCACATCAGTCGACTCGGTGGGGCTCAAACTGCGTTTCGAGTGGCCACGCTACGTCAAGACCTCAAGTTGGACAACCGTCCGGATGCTGACCAGGTGATGTACTTTGCGGAGGCCCTTCAAGCTGAGATTGAGCAGGTTGCTTTGTCCCGGCCTTCAACGACCTTGTCATCAACGTCTTCAAGCTCTGACGTGAAGAAGAAGGAGGTTCCCAAGACTGCATCGCTCAGGACTGGTGGGGATAGCTCCGCTACCACAGGTGCTACTGGCGAAAAACCAAAATGTAAGTTTTGGGGTAGCTCAGTTGGTTGTAAAAGGGGAGATAAATGTGCATATCAACATTCATGGGAAGGAATCCAACGTAGTGGAAGATGTTACTTTTGTTCGGGGGAGGGTCACATGAAGCCCAATTGCCCTTACAAAACTCAAGAAAGGGATGGTGATCAGAAAGGAAAGATCTCAAAGGTCAATGCTGGCACAACGAAGGTTGCCCCTGGAGGAAAGAAACAGACCTCAGGAAAGGATGCCCAGGTTGTGCAGCCAACGTCCTCATCCTCTACCGGATCCACGGAGGAGAAGCCGGTGTCCAAGGGTGTGGAGGAGATCCCAGTGGTCCCATCAACTCCGGTCATCGATGTGACGAGCCTGATGAAGTCGCTTCAGAGCCTGAAGGCTGTGCAGCTTCGATTCTTGGATGCTGGTGGTTCGAACGAGCCCCCACTGGACTGCAAGGTTGCCCTCCTTGATGGAGGGGCAACACATGCTCTACGTCAAGGTTCAGCAGCGGAGCTACGTGATGCTCAGCCAGTATCTGTAGAACTTGCACATGGCCGAACTACGCTGTATCGTCATGATGGATGCAGCACCCTGCTCTCCAAGGAACCCATCGAGGTGATCTTACCCATGCGCCTCTTGGTCGAGAACGGCTACCAGGGGAAGTGGTCGTCAAATGAGTGTGTGATCGCTCACCCTGTCAAGGGAAACCTTCAGTGCTGGCGTCGTCAAGGATGCCCAGTCATGAGAGAAGATGAAGCTC